GGGGGGGGCCCCCTACACGTGAAGTTTTCACGTGATTCATGATTCTCGACGCTGCGAGCCCTTGACTTGCTAAAGCAAGAGCAACTCCAGCTAGCTGATGCTAGCTTTCGTGATTACTTGCTTGGACTTACAAAACCCTTCCAAAACTCCTCCAGATCAATCTCAACCGATCGCCTCGGGCGCATCGGTCTCCACTCCCATGGACCGGAGCACCTCCGAGATGTCCTGGCGGCTTCCGCGGGTACCGGCGGAGTTGGGCACCGTCGGTGCGGGGGTTGGTCGGAGTGTTTAAGGGCTTTGGCTGGTGGCATGGTTGGAATGGAACCCTGAACCAGGCAAATAGCGGTGCAAAGGGGAGGCCTACGGAGTCTACGGCTGGCCTACGAGGTGCTGTTGCTGATCTCTTTGTCCAGGCCAACAACGTGACACAACCTTCACAAATCTCTGCCCACAAATTGCAACTCGCCCCCGAAACCAACCCCCCCAAAAAAAACACTCTCATCGAACTTGATCAAGGAATGCCCACAAGGGCCAACAACCTTCTCCACCTCAAACGTGCCCAGAGGTTCGGGTTCGTCGCCGGTTCGGTCTGTGTCCGGTCCTCCACCAGGGTGATGAGCTCCTCCAACTCCAAGGGATCAAAGTCCCGGCCCTCTTCCAGTGCCTCGGAACCGATGCAGTTTCCGGCATCCAAATGGGAAAGGTGTTGCCGCGTTGCCTGATCCGGCTGGTCTGGGAGGTATTCGAAGGTCTAATATGACATGTTGGATCTGTATGCCTTGTTTTGGACCCAATGAAATCTGGGGGTTTGGAAGTGGCTGAGGTGGCTCTACAAATGGTTGCACAGATCTACTTCAGGATGGTCAGGTCTGGGAAGACTTTGTACGTGTTTGGTCTCTTGGCATCTCGGGAAATGTCATAGATACGGAGTCCCCAAGGTCATAGTGCACATCAAGTCCACTCCTCATGACAGCCTTGAGGAACTTCCCACACGCATGGCCCAAAGATCAATGTCTCATGTTGCTGTGGCCGCTGGAAAAAAACAATCAGTGGAGTCCATTCTCCTGAGGCAAGTCTTCACCACAATCTGTCTAGTTCATCCACTTCTACACTTCACAAAGATCACTACCCCACTTGTGACTCATCCCAACTTTTCTGCCAAATCACCCCGCCCTATCACCCACCTGAGCCCTCTCGGGCGAAAACAATCTAAACAAACCACACAAACAGCGCAGAACCACCCCACGAACGCACCGCCTGCACCAGTTGCTCCACACGCTCTTTGGCGTCTTCCCGGGCCACCTCGGACCGGCCGGTCGGACGGCGCGGGGGGGTGGTCGACGACGGGCCGTATCCCAGGGCATGCGAGGCATGCGAACATTCTGAGATGAAAAGGAAAGCCTAGGATCAAGCCTAGGATGCATGGGAAATGTGGAAAAAAGAAAACTGCACAATCATACTGTGTGAAAAGAATAGTCATGATTTAGCGGAGTTTCGGCGACGGCTTGTTGGGACCCGGACGATGAAGGATTTGTTTGGCGGCTGGGGAAAAACATGTTTGTGATGTTTTGGGCACTTTAGCACTGTAGATGCTAATGTCCCGCATCGATCAAGACCTCCACGCACGGCATATTCAACTCCTTCAAAGAGATCCAGCTACAGCAGCCCTGCCGTGCCCTGGGCTCTCCAGCTACCAAGCGCACTACCTCCTCTGCTGGACTCTGGGCATTTGGGATTCGTCCAACCGTGGTAGCTCCCACATCCTCACTCAAAGAAGCATGACCTTTGGAGGTTTTGACATGTTTTGACGGCTCAACGCAAGTCTATGTCGAGGAAGATTTGCCTATTTATTTGAGTGCATGTGTTCCATCCACAATTTGCCTCCCGGGGGCTGGATTCTGCTTTGCACTGATGCTGATCTGGCTTCATGTTGGGTCTCAAATAGATCTGAAAGACCTTGGTAGTCTAGATCACAACCCACTAAAGCAAGGGCTGGCAAGAGCAGCTACCCCGATCTTCTGTTTACTTAAAACCTGAAGCCAAGTGTATCCCGAATGACTTGCTCTTTTCACTGTCTGAAGCATGTCACTTGATGCTGACAAATCTTTACAGCTACCACATAGCGAACGTCGGATGGATGTCTTGAGGACGAAGGACTTCAGTGTTTTTTCGTCGGCAATCTTCAGTTGGTCCAAGCCTCCCTTGGCAAAGTGAAGTTTCAATCGATGTTGGTTGGACCCAAATCAGATTCCACGAACTTATATCTAAACCTTCCAAACAACTCCAAAACATGTCCCAGACAGTCCTTTCAAAAATCCAAAACATTCCGGACAATTCCAGAAACAGCTAAATTTTACTGGTCGTAGTGGGATTGAAATTCGACGGATCATCGTTCTAGACCTGCTATCCTGCCCAAAAAATCCCCAGCAGCGCATGATAGCGCATGTGTGTTTCATCGTTCAATCCCAAATCCCAAGACTTCCACAATCCCCTCTCCTCCTCCGCGTCCGCAGATCTCGGCGCCGGCGCCGGCGCTTTCGGCGGGGGCGCGGATCGGGGCGCGGAAGGGCGGTCCACAGCACCCGCCAGGTAGGCGGGACCTCGGGCGGTCGCAGTTCGGACGAAGGACCGAAAGCTTGGCTGGAGGTTTAGATGGATTATGTTTGTTTCTCCCATATTGGAGGTGTTTTTTTAGTTTTTCTGTGATTCATCTGACATGTGCATCAGTCATATCAGCTGAACCAACAGGGAACATGCTGGCAGGACTTCATAGGTTTTTCCACATGTTGCCAAAACATTGGCTTATATAGCAACTTCTAATTGTCCAGTTTTGAGATGTCCATCGTCATGATCAGGGAGGCATCACGCTCTCGAGCAAAGTGTGGAAGATTTCGCCCCCCCCCTCGCCCTCTTGAAACATTCCAATCGTGAAAGCGTCTTCATCCAAACGAATGGAATCTCTAACCGCCGCTCGTGTGTCCCCATGAATCGAACATCCAACCCCATGAATCGAACATCCAAACGATCTTGGATTGCTCATTCCATCTCATTCTAAGTTATACATCACTCCAACATGAACCACACACAAAAAACCTCTCAAGAAGTCCAACTGACTCAGCAACTTGAAGCGCAAGTGGGGTAGTTAAAAAACACGTCTTTTGCAATATCGCGAAGCCATGTTATCTTTTTTCTCTTATCGTTTTCTCAGGTGAAAGATGGTCAAAGCATCTTTGGTGGAAGATCACAAATCAAAAGATGTCATTTGGTGGTCTACATGGTCCTACTTCAGGATCCCGTAGCACTGCCTGTACCAAGGCGTACACCGTCTTTGGTGGTAAAGACATGGCAGCAGCAAAGATCGGATATAGACAGCTAAACAAGACTACCACATCGCACACTTCCGCCCTTCAAAGGGTCCAATGAAAACAGTCAAATGGGTACTTGCCCACCAGGGCTGCTTTTTGCTACATGTCCTTCTCGTTTTCGTTATCGTTGTGTTATCGTTCCGGACACCTCTGCAGGTTGCCATTTTCGTGGTTCATGTAAACAGCTGCAGCATATGAGCAGCGGACAAATTACTTGTGTAGCGCAATACCATTTGACATGATTATCGTTTTTGGTGGGGTCCATATCGTTCTCCAATGTTTCTCCAGACCGTAGTTAACATAGCATACCAGCACATAGGCTAAAACAAAAAATATGACTCACAACCTCAGATTAGAGGCTTACAGTGCTTTCTGCACAGGAATGGCACAGCACTTGATTTATGCACTCGGACCAACACTAGTAATGTGGAGAAGTAGGTCTACGGAGTGCCTGGCGTGACATTTAGGTTATCGTTTGCTTATCGTTTGGATTATCGTTTGGGAAGTTGTCTGGGATTATCGGTTTAGCTCAAATATGCTCAAATAAACTTGCAAATGCAATGGCATCTGGTAACCACAAACATCTTTGTACCCACTATAGATCTTAACAAGATTATCGTGTTTGGTGGGGACCATATCGTTTTCCACAGAAACAAAGCCCTCAACATAGGTTTAGGGTCATGCCGTGACTAAATAAGTCAGCCAATAATTTTGTCCGTCGCTCATATGGACCAAGCAGCCCATTCAGTTCCTAGTAGTAAGGCCAGGAGCCCCTAAGAGCTTCTTGTTCCTGGTAGCGATTCCAGGAGCCCTAGTAGCTTCTTGTTGCTTTGTAGTAAGGCAAGGAGTCCCTAGTATCTTGTTCTTGTTCTTAGTAGCAAGGCCAGGAGTCCCTAGTAGCTTCTTGTTCCTAGTAGTAAGGCCAGGAGCCCTTAGTAGCTTTTTGTTCTGAATGTGCAGGTACAGTATAATCATTGTTATCGTTTTTTTGCTCTTGTCGTTTATTTTCTGGGGTAGGAATGCATTATATAGTAGTGTTAAGGTGCATGCCAATACTAAACCGCTGAGCGCGGGGTTATTGCACCAGCCCAAATGGCTTTGGACATGGTTTGACATTGTTTGACAAAGTCATTGTACCGGATGCCAATCCCAACCAACCAACCAACTGGATGATGTGCCTTTGCGGTTTGGCACCTGAATCTTCCAGGCCTCGCTGGCTGTCTAACTCTGCTGAACATCACGGCGTGAGCGACTTGAGCAGAGCGACTTGAACAGTCCACCCAAGAGTTCAATCCCGATCATCAACATCAGCTCCTTCCAACGACCAACATCATATTTGCCGTAGCTTGCCCCAGAACAATGAGCACCATTGAGCACCCCTACTGTCTTCGGCTCCATTGACCAAACACAGGTCCGCCTGAGCGAGGCAAAGTCTCCAGCCCATCTTGAGCACCAAGGAGAAAAGAAGTGTTTGATATTGTTTGATCATGTTTATATAACTGATGTTGTTTCAAGACTGGTAAAACACATCGGGTTCCCTAAATGTCCCCTTAGCGACAGCGATACAATCCTAATATATGCATTCTTGCTCCAGCTCTTGGGGCAGCACTGCGACCCCTGTGGAGGAACGAGGAAAGTCGTAGCCCTCTTGCCGGAGCTGTTTGTACCTCGCGGTGTCCACACGCTCCCGTGCCGCGATTCGGGAAGGAACGGTATAGTCAAAGCATAACAGCCGTGAAAAGGAACACGGTCCATCCTGTGGGACAGGCTTTGTTCAGGCCTTTGCCGCGAAACTAAAGACTGTATATCATTATACCATTTTACCATACTACGTATAATGACCAAAACAGTACACTATACCTCGGAGGGTTGACGATTGGAGGGTCGACGTGTTTCAAGACATCGGGTCTCTGGCCAGTGATTGAGAGTGGCGGATGTGGCGGCCCCGGCCGAAACAGTCAGTCCCGATAGCTCAAGGCCGGTGAGAACCGGCAGGAACCCTCAAAATATCTCAAAATCCGGTCCGTTTGCTGTTGCTTCCACGAATTCCAACTCTAAGCAAATTCCTCCTAAATCTTCGAAGGAAAAAGCCTCCAAAAAAATAGATCACTCGGAGCCACATGAGCCACCGTCCTTGACAACACGGCGCACGCCCCGAAGATCGGCCGCAAGGAGCCCTCATGCCTAGGCCGAGCGGGCTAAGGGTGTCTGCCTCTCTCGCCGTTGGGAGAGGGAGAACAGCAGAGTTGGACATTGAATTGCTGGCTCTATGTGAGGAAACCACTAAACCAAGCATTTTGAAACTGAGCCTTTTGGGTGCCTATATTTTCGAGGCTCAGGATCACTGACCCAGCGATATGTTGGTAATGTGTTGTACTATACTACATAACTCTTGGTTGGTGGGTTAGTGAGTTGGTGACTTGGTGGTTGTGAGTTGGTGAGTTAAACTGCAAAACATGGTGTGGATTGATTTACAAAGCAACCGACGCACCTCACGCATCCGACGCCCACGGTGAGCGCCTTTTTTCTCATGCGCTCTCGGCCTTCGACCCCGTCGAGAGGAGGTCTAAGTTTGATCAAACCAATGGATTAAGATTAAGACATGATGAAGATCCTAGCGATCCTAGCCCTTTCATGCCGCCCGTGGAGCCACTGCAAAATAACACCAAGGCACATGAGGAAAGCGTCCACACATAGCTGCATGATCTCGAGAACCTCCCAAATGGTGACAGCGATGCCCGTGCCCAGACCAGGGTCAGTCGCGTGAAAAAGTGCTGAAATCAACGACCACAGTTCCGCCACGCGCGGACGTAAGAGATCTCAAACCGCATCCCAAACTTACTAGGTGACCTGAAGTCTTTTGCCCTTGCTGGGCGTGGCGAGGTTGGTCAACTCGAAAGATGCTTTGCCCCTTTTGTCCATGGCACTGTAAAACACATTAGCTTGGCACTTTGCAACTTGCGCTTTTCCGACAGCAACTTCCGCTGCCTTGTGCGAGGCCTGTCGCCAGAGTTCGCGCTTCTCCTGCCGAAGGAAAGAGGGATGGAGAGGATGCGCAAATCTCCGAAATGGTATGTTTTGTCGACTGGAAGTAGACCTCTGGAAACAAGTGAAAGCTGTTCAATAACCATGCAAACGATCTAGGAACGGAGATGAACCCACCAGTTAATTGCGAGCCCATTAGACTCCAAGTAGATGTCTTGTGCATTGCCTCCCCGTATTTTGTCTTGCACGACCAAGGGTCCCAATACTGGAATAAAGCAACAAACTCGATTTTTCAGAAGCTGCTTGAAGCAGCTCTAGATCTCAAAAAACTACCTGTGACCTTACGAGCCGACACTTTCTGCACCGTGTGCCGGTTGCACTCGTGCACCCAAGTTTCATCGCGTACAAAAACATCCCCTGCCGGCGCGGCCGCGTGCCTCACCGATGGCAACTCCTTGTGGGAGCCAGTCCGACAGCCTCAGGAGGACATCTTCGTCAAAAGGAGGACCAGTCAATCAACCAGGACCACTAAACCACTGCCATTTGTGGGGGTATCCTCCTCCACACTGAAGAATATACAGTAGTCTTCCCAGCCATCCTGGCTATGTGAGCTTGGGAGTATCTATTTCCTTAGTATACAGTAGGTACGCAGGGGATCCTAATTCATCCTAATTCCCTCCTGCACATCTACAGCGAGTGAAAGTAATTGGGCTTTGCGTTGGACATGAGCGGTCTCCCAGCCTGTGCGTACTCATCTGCTGGTTTGGAGATTGAATCTGTCAGAGATCTCTATGGTCATTTCCTCATTCCCTACAAAAGCACACACCGCCTGGAAGGAGTGCGCAGCGGTTGTGGAAAGTCGGTCCTTGGCGCCCGAGCCCTGACTTGTGCAGGTTCCGCCCAAAGCCATACCTGGTCGAGTGAAAATTGTGAGGCAGTAGGATCAGGAACACGTATACCAAACCTGGTATGGTGAAGGTGGTGATCCCAAAAAAAGCAAACAGAACCTTTCCATACTATCGACGTGCAACAGATCTGAAGAGAGGAGCATAGTTTGCAAGCGAAGAACACTGTGTTTTGTTGTATTCCTTGTCTTTGAGATTAACCGCCCCGTACATGTCTAGTGGTAGATCTATACATGTTAGGGCCCCATATGAAGAGGGGGCTTCTTGGGTTCAAGCTTAGGACAAAGGAAGCTTCATGGGTCCGAAAAAACAAACGATCAATCCTACATTTCATCAGACCGCGCCTCCAGCTTTCCTTCTTCTTCACGATCCCTACGAGTGTTTCGGCCACTCCTGCGACACTGTGACTATCAGCCAAACACTGTGACTATCTGGCTCATCTCACCCGTACAATCTGGCCTTGGGCGACACAAACAGGACGCTTCCCCCTCTGTTTGGTGGTTTGGATCTGTTCTAGTGCCACCTTGGTGAGTGGAACCGAAATTCAATCGACCACAAAGCTCCGCAGTGGTCAGCATTTGCCTTAAGTGGTTTGGGCCACCTTCAAGTCTAAACAGGGATGCAACCCATCACATGGAGGCAGTTTCTTTAAACAACAAAACAAGAAACGATCTATGGGACACTCATGCAGTTTCTGGAATACTAATAAGCACCTGAAAGAAGGGTTCACTGTGTTGATCCAGATAAGCTGCACTCGGATACGCTTGCCAGCTTGATTGGTGCAGCAGTTCATCCAGAATGTTGACTAAATTCTACTATAGACACACTCCGTAGAGGGCATGAATGAATGCGTCCGCTGGTTTCATATTACTGGATATTTGGATTCCTGCATGTTCTTGCCAGGTATATGCGTGCAGGTGATGCAGGATGAAAGGTCCATCAAACGTATGTTCCGGTTGCTCCTCTCATTCCTGCACTTATTCCACTCATGACATTCTACCATGTATGCAAAAACGGCACAGTAACCCTGGTCTGTTGTGCAAAGCCACTCATGTGGCGCCGGGTATAGTATAGAATTCAGGATGTTGAATCCTGATTGGGGGTCCCCATAACTTGGCCCGTGTAGTCGGAACACAACACTGGCGCAATAGGGCAAAAAGAACATATATATATATGACAAAGCACTGGTAGCCGACGCCGTGTCGGCAACGGATGGGCGCCCTTTCTTGCCTAAGCCGAGGAGTCCCTGCGTACATGGGAAGATGCTCACGTGTGAGAGTTTTCACACTGCTCTTAAATCTTTAAGATTTAAAGTGGCGGACATGATCCGTCCCAGGAATGCATGGGCCTTGGACGCCACCGGTGCTGACTTCATACAGCTGGATGTATTCACAAAAATCCTTCAGAAAGCCTCCGGCTGAAGAGCTTCGGCTCTTGCACCAGCGAACGTATTTCACTTTCTTTTCTTCTGTACTGGAAATCACATCAAAATACGACAGGCCAGAATCCTTGTACTGACCGAAAGACATCAAGGTGCGTCCCCATTGGCTGAGGCTCTGCACTCCTTCTGGTAGAGAAGTTTGAGGCACCTCAACACTTGGAATCTGACAACCCGCAGGGAAAGGAGAAGGCTTCACTCCTGGAGCTACATAGTATCCACCCTCGTATCCCGGAATGTCGCCTTCATACTGAATGGGAGAGCCAGAAGGGGCTGCTGAGGGAACTGTCTGCTTATACAGACGCTTGGAATTCTTGCTCTCAGGAAAATCAAAATCTCTGCGCTTGGAGGCGTCTGACATAGAGCCCAAGCCGGCGATCAAAGAAAATCCATCATCGGAATGTCGAGGACTGGTACCCTGAGCTGTGGCCGATGCGAGAGGTAGCAACTCATCTGGCATACCTTCCTTCTGGGCCTTCTGAAGAAGGTTGGAAAGCTGACGCTTCTCCTCCGGGGTCCAAGACATGATTGTCAAAAAGCACTCAACTGAAAGACAGGATCAAAAGCGAAAAACCTTTGAGCATCGATCTGCAGGAACACAAAAGAAAACATTTCGTGACACTGACGCATAGCTGCATGCATAGTTATGTTTTGAGTTCGAACGGCAAAAACACAAGACTCCCCCTGAGTACACAGCTTTGCACTCCCGTCGACTCCTTATCTATTGAATTTGTGCTATGGTCTATTTATCTGACTCCGGCTTCTTTGCTGGCTGGTCATCAGAAAAACGTCTGTTTTGATGACGGCGATCCCGCTCAGCAGCTTGTTGGGCCAGCACAAAATCTTCTGGAGAAATCTGATAGGACGAGTTTCGGATGCACGACCGAAGTAAATCTATCGGGTCTTGCTTATCTTTAGTGAGCCCATCAGCCAACATCCTATCGGTCGGAAGCCAACGAACAACCCCTTGAGTAAGCTTGAGAGATTCTCTGATGATCACAATATCAATACTAGTTCTACGGTCTTCAACTGCGGTCGGAGCGGACGGGGACGTCAGATGATCGAACAGAGACTTACAGTCTGTAGCTATGATTGGGGGTCGTTTCTGCAAGAGTTCTCGTCCGGCTCTGGGTTCAAAGGAGCCATCCAGTGCCTCACACAGAAGAAGGCTGATCCATTCTACCGAGCCAGTAGCACAGGACATTGCTTGGCTTTCTGCGGAAAGAGTGGAGCTCACAGCTCGCGGCAAACGATAACTCTTCCAAATCACAGGTGTCCAAGGCACAACCTTAGCCTGATTCAGGTCCTGGTCAGTGAAAGCAATGATGTAGCCTGCCTGAGTGTGGTTTCCCAGATTTGCCCAAGCCGCATCGGAGTGAGCACACACTCGTAACCGCTGTGGCTCGATCGCCTGAAAATGGATTTCAAGGTCCTTGTGCATTCGGGCTCTCCTGACAGCATTATTCACATTCCTCAGGTCACGGATGGTGGGATGAGGGAATGACTGTTGAGACATGCTTGTCTGTACTGCTAGATCAGGTCTAGACTGAGAAGAAATCCAGTTAAGGCTACCATTGATTGCCCTGAGCACTCGAACCTGCGACTCATTGAGTCTGGTTTCATTCACGGCTCCCTTGGGAATTGTGGCAGGACGCAGGCTCTCTGCAAACAGCTGCTGGGACATGTGGATGTGCTTACTAGACGACTCTTGGCGATAGTAACTGCCACAGAACTCTCCTTCTCCGACTCTCCACTTCCTATAGGGGAACCTTTCTTTGAGTTTGGAGATAGCACTATCGAAAAGCTCACCCGAACCCCCCACTGCAGTGTCATCAACATGAACTCCCATAATCCCTGTCAGTTTGTCTCCCTCCCGGAGAAAATACAAACACGGATCAAAGATGGATTGGATCCATCCCGCTTTGACAGCCTCTGCGTGGAAAGTTTTAAACCAGCTAGCCGGTGCATCGTTCTGGCCGTAAACATTACCAACAATTTCGAGCACTGCATCTTTTGGAACCCCTGGGATTCCACCTGCCGGTTGAGAAGCGAAGAGAGGTCGGAACTTACTATCCAACGGTCCTGCTTCCATGAAAGCTCCATTGATGTCACCCAGCTGCAGATCCCAGCCGTGAGAGCAGATCAACTGCATCAACAGCATACGAGAAATCTGGCTGAGTGTGGGTGACTTCAACAGACCTTCTTGAGCCTTTGCGTCTAAATCTGGATCCAGATGACCCTGAAGGCACCACCGACTTTTGATGCGAAAAGTGCATAGATCATTGGGATCTACTGCTACGTTCTCTTCAATGGGTTTCCGAATGATCACAAATCGGCTACCAATGAACCTGTTGGGGTACCTTGCCCTGAGTTGGGCTGCCTTTTTGCCATAGTGTACTTTCACAGCCTGTTTTTCTAGAATTGTCCCCCATTCCGTGGACTTGGACTCATCTACCAGTTTTTGCAACTCAGCATCCTGGTTGGTGTGTGGAATTTCTTTGCTGAACTTCTTCTGTAGATAAGCGGCCATGAGGACTTCGATGGGCCGATCAGGTCGCCAACTGTCCATGATTTCATCGCACTCTTGAACGAGAAGGATGTCCTCTTCGGTTCCTTCCTGAGTTCTCACCCTGGAAGAAGGAGGTTCCTCTGTCGACACACCAAGTTCATCTGCTGATCGTTTGGATGTCGATGATTCATCCATGTTGCTTGGCGTATTCTGCAAGGAGTCAGCGATCAACCGAGGAACAACTTCTCGCATCATCTCAGTAAAATCTTCCTCTCGCATAGCGGGAGGCCTGTACAAGGCTGCTCCACCGGCTTTGGATGGTACTCGACGCCGGATGGGCCCATATCCTTGAGGCGCTGGACTTTCACCCTTGCTGGAACTGGAGCCACCCAGAGAAAATCGAGGAAAACTTGGTTCGTTGTCTTCATTGCCTGGAGGATTTCCGGACTCAATCTCTGGAATACTGTTGGAATGGCCATCTGGTGGCACCACCTCCATGGGTTCAGGAGCGATGGCTGAGTCACCGGTCGGCTCGTTGGTCGGAGGAGCTGCCTCCAGGTTGGAGGTCTGGACTGGTGTCGGTGGCTGATGGTCAGCTGGCGCTGGAAGTTCGGTGTCAGCAACAATGGGAGACTTGGTCAACACTGGATGTGTGGAGGGATAGTGGCCTGGTACTAGGTCCACAAACTGATGACTGCGAAAGGTACCCCCTTCCAACAAGTCTTTGATTCCCAACAACTCAGCTTGTGGGGATTGCAGGACTGTACGTTCCTCTGTGGTTGCGGGTCTCAGCTGCTCGGGGGCAACACGAAAAATTTGCTTCCGATGGGCAATCACATAGTTGCGTCCTATCTTTCCCATGACCACTGCTGTACCGAACCATCGACCACCTTGTATCACATGCCCCTTTTGAGATTGAGTAGCTCCCTGAAACTTTTGTTCTCTCCAATAAGCCACCAAATCTCCAGCTTGAAAGTCAGGAACTGTACGAGGTCGTGCTGCTAGAGCACGTCTCAAGGCCTGATCGCTCTGGAGATCGATGACTGCTTTCCGAGCAGTCGAGCGAATCTCTTGCGACTTCTGGATAGCAGCATCTGTCAGTCCCAGAGTAGCTGGAACAACTCGTAGTGGTTCATCCAAAAGATCGCACGGAACATCAGGGTTCTTCCCAAAAACAAATTGGTAGGGAGTGAAGCCGTGGTTCTGAATCATCGTGTTCTTCACATGAGCATGAATAACCAACTGTTCCCACTCTTCTTTTGTCGAAGGAGAATGTTCTTCCACTAGTTTGGAAAGCACGTTGCCAAACCATCCACCATGACGTTCAGTACGACCCAACTGCCAATGGGCCTCTGCGGCTATGGGCTTGCAGTGTGTGCCCAGACTCTCCAAATAACTCTGTAAAACATCTCCTAGATTGGTTCGAGCAGGGTCCATCATCAACACTTTCGGGGCTCCAAAAGTACGCACCCATTGACTTGAAAACAGATGCTTGATGACCTGGGAGGTCTCTTGCTCGAAGAAGGGAAGCACAAGTTGGTAATTGCTAGCATGATCCACTATATTCAAGGCCTTTATGGTTTGGTTATTCTTCCAGCCTCTCAATCCTTTCACATCGATTCCTACCACATGGTTGAATTCTCTGGGATGATCTACCTGTGCTGGGAGTGGAGTTCGGGGTTTACCCTGTGCTTGACAGGAGTCACAACTGAGCTGACGTGCCAATGCAAGAGCCTTGTCGGAGGCCTGAGCATGTTTCAAAAGGCGGACCAGGTCAGCACTTGAGGGGTGCCCCAAATTCTTGTGTAACCGAAACAAGGCCTTCTTGACCATCTCATCATCTTCATGTTCCAAATCCCCTTTTACCATGAGAACATCGTGTTCATGTTGAAATGGCCATGGTAAACACGGTGGCAAATGGCTGCGAGACATCTCTCGGAACTGGGGAACCGTATTCATGACAGCCATCACAAAGGACGGAGTGTACTTGCCTGTGAAGGCGCTGATGGAACCAACTGAGGGATGACTTCCGGCCACTGGCTGGTGAGTACCATGTTTCTCATGAGCCTGTCCTGGGCATTTTTGTTCAAGAACTTGCATACCCTGGTCACTCACCAGCAGGCGAGTGGGCTTTCTGATCAATTGTTCTGAACCAGGAATTCTCAAACCAAACCTACAAAAATCACACTCGAGAGGAAAGAACTCTTTGAGCAGGGTTTTCATCTCAGTCATGCGCCATGCTCTGGAGCCTCGAGGATGTTCGAACAAGGCTTGTTTGCCCGCCTCGACTTGTTGCCTGAACAACTGGCAACACCATCGAACAAACAGGCGACTCTGGCGTATTCGTCTGGCCACTTCCTCCGCGGGCATGGAGTGACAATTTAGGTTGAACCATCCTCCGGCATCGGTGCAAGGGGGACACAGGATAAGAAGATCAGGTGGTTCTTCGCGGAGTTCCCTGGACACGGACGCCCTAGTCTTGGCTTGCTGAAAATCATATCCTGTGACGAGGTCATACGACTTGCACACGCCTCCTACACCTTCCACCAGGGGGGCAAATCGAGGAGGGCTGAAAACTTCAGCTACTGTCAACCTCTTGGACCTGACGTTGGCATCATGCTTGGAGGGTGACTCAGACTTCCCTATTCGATTTATCTGAGATTTCAGTTGGCGCACATGGTGCACCGGAAGGCTCTCAAAAGTGGAAGTGCATTCCTGCGGTCGAAAAACAAACTCAGTTCGAGTGTGCATGACATGTCTAGGAATGGCATGGTGATAGGCCGATTTCCCTTTTTGTGGTGAGATGGGTTCATCGAACAATACCACTCCAGTATCACAATCAATCACCTTCCTATGAACCACTGTGTGCCAAAGGGGACCTTGCTTCCCAATGGTGGGGGTTTGCTGCAAAAAGGAATCTTCTCGAAACCATGACTGAAGCGGGACCGAGTTGCCAGGCGGCTCTTGGATGCCTAGCTCAACACCAGATTCCGATGGCCTCTCCAACTGACCAGAGGCAGTAGGTAGGGTGGATGCACTGCACATGCACTCCTGTTCAAAATCAGGTGCCTGGCGTTCTCCAATAACATTCACGGCATATTGTCGGGCACACTCACCTGTTCATTGAATAGGGTCAATCGGCTGTTGCCAAAGTCGATCACGGCCTGCAGAGTCTGGAGAGCACTGCGAGAGATCAGAAAGGGGGCTCGACCTTTCACAATGGCCGTGCGGATCGTGCCTCGTTTGCCTCCCAGACACACTGGGAGACGCAGCACTGAGGTCGTGGTCTCCTTTTCACCATTGCCAAATCGAAAATGGTTGGTCTCGGCAATCTCCTCCGGAACGGACATGCCTGCCTCAGTCCAAAGTTGGGTGAACTCATTCAGGGTCTCACGTCCGATGATGGATCGACCGCAACCCGAGTCCAGGATGCCATAGCCTGGAGAGCTCACCAACAGAATCTCGGGCTGCTCGAGAGAAGGCTGGTCGGTGACCTGATGCATACGTGCTGCTTGTCGTTGTCGGAGCAGGGAGAGTGGAGACAAGAACTCTTTGCACAAAGCCGCCATAGCCACAAAGTCCTCCTGGTCGTAGCAAACAAAAGCGGCTCCAGCTTCTTTCTTCGATCCTCCAGAACTAGAGCCACGGGGTTGAGAGCACTCGCGGGACCAGTGCCCCACCTGCCCGCAACGATGGCACTTGGTCTTGCGTTTCAGTTCAGCAATCTCGACCCGATAGCTACGCTTCAGGTCGGAGGCAGCCGCAAATTTGCGAGACCTCTGTAGCTTGCCAAGCTCTTTACGGCGATCTTTCCATGAGATGGCCAATGCTTCAGCCACTTCCTGCTCGGAGTACACCTCATCGAGGTCACCCTCATTGGAGCCAGCACTGACGTTGTGTTCCGCCAGAAAAGCTTCCACCTCAGCGGCCAAATCCGACTCATCTTCAAGGTCGGGATAGTCGGGTGCAGTGGTTCCGACATCTCCCTCAACGAGGCCAGCGCCTATATGCTTTTTCTTGACGACGAACTCGGGGTAGCACGAGCGCATGGCTCGTCCCACTTCCTCGCGTTTGAGGATACCCAGCGACCGGGCCAACACCACTGCCTTCTGCTCTTCATTGAGACCGGATCGGTGTAAAATGATCCAGCCCCGAGCCTCCTCAGGAAAGGCTACATTGGTCTTTCTCTCGCACTTGTCGAACAACTCAGTGGCGCGAGAGATCCAGGTCTTCAAACTCTCGCCGTCTTGAGCGCGGACATTGAAGATCTCTGTCAAAGCCTCGCTCATTTCATCGCTGGCATCTTTTTGCGGAAAGCGCCGGTCCAAGCGTTCCAGCAAAACTTTCTCTCCGCCCTCCTTCTGGTAGAGGGCTGGGTCCAGGTGTTCCACGCATTCCAGGGCCTTGCCTGAAAGAAGCGTGTACAGGTAGGCCCCACGGGCCTTGGGCTGCACCTTGTCCTCCAAGGTAAGTAGTTTATTCTGCACCCAGACTTTCCATCTTCGGTACTCCTTGGCGTCCTCCTGATCGCCAGAGAAGTAGCGCAGGCCGCTTGAGCCTCCGTCAGAACTCGCCGCCATGGCGCACGCTCACGTGTGAAACGTCACACCGGTATCCTAACCGGCGGGAGTCTCGGCGTACCGAGGCCCCGCTACCAATGACAAAGCACTGGTAGCCGACGCCGTGTCGGCAACGGATGGGCGCCCTTTCTTGCCTAAGCCGAGGAGTCCCTGCGTACATGGGAAGATGCTCACGTGTGAGAGTTTTCACATATATATATAGATCATCCCTGCTGCCCGGACAATCTCCATCGATGGCTCCTGCATCGATGGCTCTGCACACCACCAAGCCGCAGTTCTTCACCAACATCTGGCCAATCGATGTAGCAATGGGGTGGGTGCATTGCCAACTGGAGGTGTTTGTTTGGTTGCCAGTAGCTCCTCTATATATGCCCCGTAATGTTTGGTAGTGTAAATGATTGTAAATGTAAATGTAGTATAATTACTATAGCTTATAGCTTTGTTCGGGAGGGTGAAGTAGGGTAGGGTGAAGTCCTTTTCCAAATTCTTTGCCTATCTGGTTTATGTTCAACAAGAACACCATTGAACACCCTGTCCATCAAATGGAGATCGATACTGCCGGACGCCTCAGTCTTCGCAAACCATCAGCTGAAAGACACCCGTCTTTTGGGGAGCCAAAGAAGTCAGGAACTCTCATTGGATATCGACTTGTGGGAGCCGAAAAGAAATGAAAAAAGGCAGAGAAGTGGAACAAGGGATACGCAAATCCTTTCCACAAAGGAATCCTTCGTACCATTTAGGAGCTGCACTGGATGAGAAAAAGATATTCCGCAATCTTTCGAGTCCAACCTGGTAGATAGCAGGGTCTCAAACTCAGAGCCCAATAGCGCCGGTTGCAAAACATTGTTGCAGCAAGTTAAAACGAAAGGGTATCCCAAAGAAATCAACGCCATTTGCACAGCTTGTTGGTGCATTTCCTCCAACCACCCACATCCGGATCTAGCCCCAACCCGCTCCCCTGCAGCTTTTTGAGCCCTTTCGGTGTGCGGGTTTGTGGCATCTCGTGGCATTCCGTGGCGAGGCTCGGCCTCCCCGCCTCCAAGAGGCTCAGCGCCAACTGCACCGAGCGGGCCGACTCGCTGCCTGGGTCATGGGGAGAAGTACTCGCTTCCGAGCACGGATGGAGATGATAAGTCTGGGATGTACGGCCCGGGGGTAGCTTGCGGTCGAGAGGTATGGTATGGCTTATTGAATCACTGAGCCTTCCTAGAGCCATGCCATGTTGGGAAGATATCATGCTAGCACCAAAGAACACAGAAAAAAAGGATCCAGAAAAAATCAAAACGCTGTCGGATCAACACCAAGCCCCGACCACCGCCTCGTGCACCGAGTGCCCCGGCGCAAACGCTCGTTGATGCGGTCCATGGTCAGGGGCGCCAAGTACTGGTTCTCCTCCGACCGAGTGCGTCGAGCCAGCGTGGCGCGGTCGAGCCGCCACGCGGGTGGCAGGCGGCAGCCACGGTGGTCGACTCGCGGTCCACCAAATTGATGGATCCTCTGGTTTTGGTGGATCGGCCAGTTTCTTTTGAAGGTCTTGGAGGGCCAGGGAAGAGGTTCTCAAATCCTAAGTGAACAGAAACAGGATCATGCGAAGAAACTGTTACAGTAGGTTCATGTAAATGTAGGTTCTATGTCCGAACCCTACAACCCCAAGCAAAAGCACAAGAAGATAGGTTTCGTGAGGTTAACATCATCTTGGGTGCAAATCGCACTGGTGTTCATTCCCATGATTCCCTAGTGCGACTTGCGAGTGCTGGTTCCCTTGGCATGAGTGGCCGAGATCCCAAAGCATGAGGACCAAAACTCGAATCCTTATAGTGGGATGTATTCCTTGTACAAAAATCCTTGTTTTCTTAAGATTTCCGACAAAACATATATGATTGAAATACATTGAAAACCACTCCTGGCCACAAATTCGTAGTCACTGAATGGAAGACAGTTCCTATTTACATTGATCTTCCAAAGACCTACGACTGCACTGAACAACAGGTCGTATTCTCTCAGTTTGATGCATACTTTCAGTATGCATACTTTCAGTTTGATGCCTCAACCTCTACGTCTGCTTGAATCAATGAAGTCTCCACGGTGGGGGGGTAAAATCTCTTGAATCAGCTTGAATCGGATCTATGAAAACAATTCAAAGCTTACAGTGCGAACCCAGATTGATTCACCCAGTCCACTCATGTCTTCGCATGTGGTCCTTGACCATGTCGCAAATCTGTACATTCACCGCCTAAATCTGCAGGAGAAAAAGAAGCAAACTCTCCGATTTTGGGATCAGGATCAACATGAGTACAGCAGATGCATTCAGATCTGAAATTCTGTCAGACAGCGCAGAAAGCCCTGGATTTCTTCATGTGGACACAATCACCTCCACCATCGGAGACAAACATAGAAATAGGAAATGGGAAGGCTCCCAGTCCAAACGATAAACAATGAGCTGTCATCCGCAATGCCAGCAGGATGTAGCCGCAGCCAGAGGCTTTGCTTCAGCACACTTGGTCTACTGGAACTTTTATGTGTCCCCAACAAAAGGATAAGGAAACCCGTGTCCAACACGCAAATGCACAAATGGCACCTTGAGCACCAATCAGAGTAGGCAGTTGGCACCTCGCATGAAAGTCGCCTCAAACTGGATTTGGTGGCAAAACAGTTAAAAGCTGTAGAGTGTGTGGAGTGTAAGTGTGCACAATTGCTCTGGAAAAAAAGAATACTTGTCCTGTGGGAAACGGTGGAGTTGTAGGAGTACCTTGATCTTGGTGTCTTTCGAACCTCTCCTCTGGTCGGAAGTAGCCCAACTGAGCTGCCCAGGCCCACTCGATGGTAGAGGAGCGCAGGGCCAATGACAACAAGGTGTCCAACTGGGGCAGCAGCGAAACGACGGAAAGATGCGCCAAGCGAACTGCCTTCTCACATGGTGCACCATGGGAGGGCGTCCAAACCAATCATCTTTCACCCAGAATTCCGCGGGTGGGTAGTAGGGGGTGTCAAAAAGCTGAAAGACAAAAAACAAGCGTAAAAACAAGCGTCCTTGCTCCTAGTCCTAGTAGCGATGCCAGGAGCTACTAGTAGCTTCTTGTTTGCTCTTCAAGCAGCGCCCTTCGTCCATCTGGTCTGACACCCCGCGTTCGCCCGGGCCACTCGTCCCTCGCCTCCTTGGCCGTCATCGGCTCCTGACACCGATGGCGTCCGAAGGTGCCGGGTCAACGTCACATGGGCGCTTCGGTGGGTTTCATTCTGAGAATCTTCTGACCTTTTCTGAACGAATCTGAAGGAAACACGTGTCTTCCAGTCTTCCACACAAAAGCAGACTAGTAAGACTGGCAAACCCCAAAGACAAGGCTTTCGGGTCTCATGTCTTGCCTAATTCTGGTCTATGTGCTCAATGGTACAGCTTCCAGACTCTTTTTTGCGTCTTCTGCTCGTTCTGTTCTTCGGACGAACCAGCCAAATCAGGCGTCGAAATCCATCTGGGACTGAAGCTCCGAGCGTATGAATCCAAGCGATTCATCCGACAGCGTGCCCCATCCGACGTCGCACACTGCGAGTCGTAGCCCCCTTTGTTGAGGAGGCACAAAAAAAGCATCTGGGTGAGGTCCAAAAGAGGTCAAAGTGAAGATTGGTCGAAGTATTAGCCTAGTTGATTTGCTGAGGGGCAATCATTCACCAGGACTCAGGACACTAGGTTTAGGTCTTTGGTTTCACAAAGTTGTTTGCTTGAACGAGCGGTGAACCCTCGCCATCCCTGTCTTGCTCACCAACCTTTGGGCGTTACCGCGTTACCCAATCCGTTCATGTCCAGGTTTTAAAGTTCGTTTAGATCCAACTTCCGTTCCGACAGATTTCCTGGGTTTTGCAGAGAGAGAGAGAGAGACAGAGCAAAAAAGAATGGCCATGGGACTGTAGATGATTGTACACCCCTTGTCGTAGTAGGTTAGCTGGCTTTTGAGGCCGTCGACATTCGACAAACCCCTTCGACATTCTCTTGGAGCCCGTCCCCACACACTCACTGCAGCGGCCAATGATTCTGGCAAGAGCCCCATGTGCCAATGCAAGCATCACTCGTTTGAGAGCAGATCGAAATCACATGTGTGAGACTTGAGAGGTGAGACGAGTCACAAAGCCAATGATCAAAAAACAAAAATATATTGATCCCTTGGGTGTGTATATTATATTATATTATCAATTTTATTATATATATATATTATATATATATTATGATATATACATATATACTTTATATTTCCGGTATTCGCTGTCAAATCCAGTGATGAAAGTGAAAGATTATGAAAGGCCAATGATCATCCCCCAAAGTCCTCTGGAAACTCCTGGACCGGCATGGAAGTGGAACGCTTCCATGCTGGAAAGAAACTGTGTCTCTTGACTTCTTGCCTTCCAGCATGCATCCTGTCCATCTTTCCTGCACTAGTCTAGTCTAGTGGTGGTTTAGAAGTCTCACTCTCAAATCTACAAACAACAACTGGTTGGTTGGTCGATTGATTTGTAAGTATGGTTTTGTCGATGTAAGCAATTGGGTCACCTCCTGGCACAAATCACAACAATGCTGTGAACAAATCACCCCATGTGGTTTTTTCGTAGAGGAGCCGCATGTATCTACCAGCCTCCTTTAGCCAGTAACCAACATGGTGGCGGTACGAGTACAAGTCCACTCCTGCAACAATACATAACTTACCGGTTAAGCCCGAGCACCACCGATACCAGTTAAGCACGGCACATTCTTTTGACGAACTGGGTGTTTCCATGGACTGACAGCAAACACCGACTACTGACTACTGGCGCAGCTGAAAAGTAAGCTGTCGCGGGTTTAAACATATACGAAGTACATCGAAGGACTGTGTCTTACATGTTGCGGTCTGAAAGCCGTAAGTCCAAGGTGGTCGACTGATGTGCTTTGCAAACACGAGCGACAAAAAGGCTGGTTTCTTTTTCTTCAGCACTCCCAGCACAGTTTTTCAAGCGTTGAATGTTTGCGTGCCCAAACCTGAACAAAGGCGTCAACATATCCTCGCAGCTTGCCGTTCGGTGCTTTGATGTCTGAGCCTTTACTGAGCAGTTCGGAACATCACCATGTGTGATCTAAGGCCTGAGTCCGTTCATTTTTCTGAATAATAAGCTTTTGAGGACATGTGTACAAACTCCACAAGTGAAAAGGAACGAGAGATAACGAGTGTACATAAGAAAAAAGACTGGATACAAACGGATCAACCTGGAAGAAAGTACAAGATCAAAAGGCTACCAAAACAGCTAGACACACCAAGAGACACGCAGCCACAGAATGTATGCCAGCGCAAAAGCGTCCGTCACGTCCCCAATTGTCCATGAAAAAAGAGCAGCGGAGAGCGGACGCATCAGCAAATTCTGGATCACAATGGAACTCTAGCGACTCTAGTGTCCTTGCACCTTCCCCACTACCCCAACCCCCTCACCCACATACAAGTTCCTCCTTCAAAGCAAGGCACAAACATGCAGTTCTTTGAAGAGGAGAGTTGCTGTGAGGTGAAAACGACAGAATTCCGTGGGACCATTAATGACCATTACAGTAAAAGGGGCGTGAGCACTATGACTATCCGTTTCACTCACATTGGACAACATTCAGGTTCACTTACGGGTGGATCAGTGAAATTGTTCTAAACATGAAGTCACAGCCATAGAGCCAATGACACCAAAAATTGCAATCATATGTCCGACGTCCATTGGCGGAAGCTCTTGCAACTGTCCATCGGCTGGCAGTCATTAGCAAGCTCCCAAACAGCCCCATGGCTGAAGGGAAAGTCTTTGCAATGTACAACAAGTTCATTTTAAAAAAGAGCAGGAACCGAAAGGGTCCCTGCATCTATTTCTCTGCAGATTCTCTGTAGGGTGATGAGAATTGGGCACGTGTCGCCAACCATTGCTTGATTGATTACACTTATAAATATATATATATATATGCACTTGTTTCCAATAGCTTCTTGTTACTACTAGTAAGGCACTTGTTACTAGAAGCGATGCACTTGTTTCTAATAGCTTCTTGTTATTATATATATATATTCAAAAACCTCCTGTCATCACATATCACCCTTTGGACTACTTCCGCAGTGCTTCCGGACCTTTGGTTCACAGCAACTCGCAGAGCGAGCCGTCACCCCCAGTGGTGGGGGAAGTCACCCTCCTGCGCACCGTCTTCGTCCTGATTGATTTGATGCAGAGCATGTCATCCCAGGAGTTTCTGCTACGTGGATCTTGTATATATAATATATATATATATTCCTTTAAATCAGGAGTTCTTCATAGACTCTTACAGTGACCATCATCTTCTGTAAGTTTCCTGCCTTTGTGGGGTTGGGGTGCAAATCCTCAAGGTTCCCAGCGACCACAGTATCTGTGGTTTAGAATACACATGTCTCGTCTCCTTCTGACAAAATGTAGACTCAATGTAGACGCACACGAGGTGTGTTGAAGAAAAACAAGCCGCAGAACTAAAGCTTCCCCCATCGTACCATTGTTGCCTGGCAAGGAGATAGAAATGAAATCCGGTCAGGTGCTGTAATGTTTATTGACTTGGGATCTTTGTGGAGGAAACCAAATGTTTAGCTGAAGCAGCTTGAAAAACAAATATGGTTCCAATTGGTCAAGACTGGGTTTAGTGAGAGAGTAAAAACTAGCGCCGCGCACGGTGTAGCTGGAGGCGGAGGAGTTCTTCTACGGCTTAACCTGACAGATTTGTGTTGATCTACTGGCAGTCCAGCCAAGATGCCGACATCATGGGTTGAACTGCCGCGCATTAATTCTCGGCGAACTCGTGTCATCTTCATGACACACAAAACGGCCGAAAATGCTGAAGAAAGTTGCTAGAACCCTGCCGAAATGCCGAATCAAAGTCACCGTCCAAGCATGGCCTGAATTGATCTGAATTGCGCACCCTCGCTGGGTTTGCGTCAAGTTGCATGGCCGCATCCGGAGTATGATACACAGAACGGCTGCCAAGCAACACAATCAACCAGAAGCGAACAAAGTTGTTCTAGGGGATTGGTCAAACCGCCCCTTTCTTTCTGCTCTGTCTTGAGAATGCTTTTCCCGACATCCCAAAACAGAAGCTGGTCAACTATGCAAGATGTACTCTAAAAAGAAGGTGAACAACTTCAGCTGTTTAAGCCAGTAGTCCTAGTGAGCTCAAGCCGGGCGGCCAAAACAAGTTAGGGGTCGGATTTCGTTGAGCGTGCCAGGGTCAAGCTGGGGCTGATGCTGTTCTAAACTAATTGGGTGCGTCCCGTTCGTCCGTAATTAGTAGGCTGTTCCAAGCTTCTGGAACCTCATGCCTTGCACCCTGCTAAGCCTCCACTAGAAAATTCCATGGGTACTTTTGACGGGGCCTTGGTTATCGAGTTGATGGGTTTGCTTCTTTCCATGCCAAAAACGTTCTGACACTCAGGTCACTGACCAGAAGACAAACCAAAAATATGTTTGCTCATGGCAAGGCAAGAACTCGCCAACCCCTACGTGCCATGCTCATTGAAAACTAAACTACGATGATTCTTGACCCCAAGGTTCTCCTCAATGGGTCCAGATTGAACTTCTAAGAACTTCTAAGTGTATAGTACAGATATACCCCCGGCTTAGACCACTACGCCGGTTCTAGTATCATTGTGACGGGCAGGTCAGCACGGAAAGAGGCTTGTACACAAGTACTGGAGTATTCTATAATATGAGGCTAGTAGGTTGGATGCCATCGCTAGTAGGTTGGACGCCATCGCTAGTAGGTTGGAGGCCATTGCTACTAGGGTGGAGGCCATCGCTATTACAGGAGTATATATATATATATGTTTTTATTATAGAATATGTTCACTGCCTGGTGCAACCCAAACAACCCATCAGCATGGCCGACACAAACACTGACCGGTTACTGGCGTGATCCCATTCATGGGGAATTGTTCGTCTTGGCTCGGCTCATCCCAATGGTGCCCATGCCGGGAATCCTTACAATGGTTGGGTAAGGTCACAAGAGTTTGCCCCACATTATCATAACACCGTAAGCATGCAGGCTGCAGTAGCTGACAGCAAAATGTGTCAGGCTTTTCTTAGCATTTCTTAGCCTAATCTCACTGAACTCCAAGCCCACCCCTCGGTGCCCACCTTGCATTGTTTTCTGATGGCATTTGCAATAGACAGGTCAACATAATAACAAAAATCTGAGGAAATTACCATGTCGACAACTCTGTGGCGAATTACCATGTTACTATCCGGCAACAAGCTGTTATTCATCGAGTTAGTCCGGTTTGGTTCGGTCTAGATATGATCAAAGCGACTTGTGGGCCAAGTGAATCGAGTCTTTTGTGTCGGACGAACTAGGCCCCGGAAGATCCCTGGCACCCACAAGCCTTGACACGCTTCATAGCAACACAAATCCCAAGCACCTCCTATGCTTGGAAACGACAGGTTGATGTTCATCAAACGAACAGGGAAGTGGAAATCGCCAAATTTGCAAGTACTTCTGCAGAAAACTGGTGATGTATGTTTCTGGAATTCCCACTCCTCACATTCGTCGCCTGGCTGCACCAGCTGTGTAGCAACTTGTTACAAACCAGGTTTCTCCAACAAAGAATGCCAAACATTCCCAAGCGGCGGTGAAGATCGGAGGAAAGTCCCGTAAAGTCAGTACAATGCAATGCATGCTTCAGTGGCAGAGCTTGCACATGCCTGCATGAAGACACTCATGGTGGACTGAATCAAAGGTACACCCTAAAAACTGATAGGAAACAGCTAAATCTGTTTCGTTTCAACCTCACCCACTTCAACCTTACCCACAAGCCACTACAAACAATGTGTTCTTGATGAATCAGTGCACCCAATCTATCATAGTAGATCATCAGCGACTGCTTCGGAAAATTCCTGGTGGATCTTTCGCTGGGCCGAACTTCCTCGGATCGAGCCATCACTCGCTCGCTCGGGGGAGGCTTCTGTGCTGCCTAGCGGACTTCGTCATCTGGCACCCAGGGGAGAGAAGCGCCAGTCAGAGTGGATCCACCTGGGCATTTCGTGAAGAGGTGAGATATGGGTGTGTATTCCAAAAAGGGGGGCCACCCCCTGGCCCAGTAGGTCTGTAGGTTTTGGTCTCATTAAATATGTCCCTTCTTCCAGGTCTTTGGGAGGTCTCCGAGTTCTTGTTTCACGAAAAAAACCACGCCCTCCCGAAGGGGTATCCGGCGTGGGGCAGTTCGGCCATCAAGTGTATGGCTCAAAATCTGTGGCGCCCAATGCGGTGGTCGCCTGGGGTCCCTCCTCTGTACACACCACCATGATGGGCGCAGCTGCTGTCTCCCACAATCGTTTCTTGTTCTTCACCACATTCCTGTTGTCCCTTTGTGGGATCAAGGCCATCTCTCTCCTTGGCTCAGCACCTTGTAGTGTTCTTTTTGGCAGGGTTCTTACATGTTTCTGCTTGTGGCCAGAAATGACGTAGCGAGGTAGCTCCGATTCAGAGGGAGATCTGCAGGTGAGTGTCAGCCATGTTGCTCTCTTAATTTATAGTCTTTCTATGTGATGTCAACTGTCGGTCATTGGGTCAAATTCTCTAGGCCGTAGCCATCCCTCATACCCAGGTGTTTTTTGGCCAAGGATCTGCCATGTGGCTCATCGAAGTCCTCCTCCTGAGACATCGGAGGTGATTCGCCTCCCCGGTCCTCTCTGGTCATCGCTACCTTCTGAATCCGTATGTATGGCATCCCACACGTGGCCAAGCATGGCACGGACAAAAGTCCAACATGAGCGCGGTGCAAACATCACTCATTGAGGCGTTCCGAACAGGGAACCACCACGAACCACTTCTAGTGTCTCTCCATTCCTCCGTTTCACCACTTTCACCCCTCCCCAGACCAGTCCGGTTGAACAAAAGCGGTTACTGTAGTGTTAGTCTACGAACACAGTCCGCGCCTCTTCGATCATCCAAAGGCTTCTCAAGTCCACATGCACAGTTGTTTGCTGGCAAGCCTTGGCAGCCACGGAAGGAAATCACATCCCAGCCCGGCTAGTCGGCTAGTCCTTTACCAAAAAAGGCATGCGATGGTGCTGACTTCGTAGGTATCCTTTTTGTGGAACCTCAGGGTCGCTTAAGGCCTGAACGATGTGGGAAGACCACACAGAACTTGGATCTTTCAACGGAAAGCACGACTGCATAACAGGACAGGCCTCCCAAACCCTATTCATCCTCGCAAATGATTCACACGGATTACAATGATCATGATTCGTCAGCGAAGGTGGATTTCTGAGTTGGGTCATTCAAAATCCAAAGGATATTCCAAACGATCCTCACCATCTGTGCAATTTCGACAATTACCTGACGAACTGTTCGTCCATTGTGACTCAAAGAATCAACCGTTGGCACTGTATGTAACAAATTGTAACAATGCATACGAGGGATGCACATTACCGGCAAGCAGGTCTTAGTCTTAAATCCCACTAAGCATGCGCTGGCTCGTGATGGAACCAGGTGCTGACCTATCACAGGCGATCCCAGCCGCGATCCACACAGACCCCTTGCGTCAATACCGGTAGAGGTCGAAAATACGATGGTATGCAAAATCTTGCACGAGGGATACTATACCGGACCTGAAGCATGTCTAAACCTGGCTACACATAACTATACTATATTTATTTTTTAATATATTGATGTCACCGACCTCGAACCACATAACTCACGGGCTGTGCCATTTTTGGTTTCGTTCGTGCAACACCGGCGACATGCAACGAATGTCTCATCAAAATCTGGACTTGGACACCGGCGCATACCGTGACAGATCGAACGCAGAGTCACCACATTTTCTCCTTCGTACGGTGACACCGAAGGGAGCCTCGTATAACTCACGGAGGTGAAGATTACCGGTCAAATTCCTTGGCTCCCCATGCGGTGCCGGCAAACTCCCTCTCACAAATAGGCAAGACTCAGCACACCGGAGAATTTGCGCAGTTGAGCCTGTCGGTGTCCCTCTTAATTAAACAAAATCCAAAGAATACCCCAGGGCCCGACATATATTGGAAAACACACCAAAAAAGCGGAGGGATATCGATCTCCGTTCTCTGAGGTGGTTCCCCTCAATTCTTCCTTGAAATCCGATCGTCCTCCAAACCATTCCAAACCCCTTTCCACCGTTGCCCAGTTGCACCTGTGGAACCACCGCGTCCATGCGCAGTTTGGCGTCCGTCCGCTGACCTGCGAAAGGACGGTCCAAGACAGGATCTAGTAGCGTCCTTGTTCCTAGTAGTAAGGCCAGGAGCCCCTAGTAGCTTCTTGTTACTACTAGTAAGGCACTTGTTACTAGAAGCGATGCACTTGTTACTAGTAGCGTCCTTGTTCCTAGTAGTAAGGCCAGGAGCCCCTAGTAGCTTCTTGTTACTACTAGTAAGGCACTTGTTACTAGAAGCGATGCACTTGTTACTAGTAGCGTCCTTGTTCCTATAAGCTAAAAACTGACTGCAGATAAATTCTGCCAACACGGCTGTGCACCAGAACCCACTATGAAACGTAGGACATAATATGGAATTCCTTCGGAATTCCTTACACTATCTCAATTACACTGATATTCTTCCATGTCAAAGCTCAAAACCTGACTCATTCTCCAGCTCCAGAAGATCCATATTATAGATCCATGTCCCGCCGCGGTCAGTCGGTCAGCGAACAACTCCAGAGGCATTGGGCCTTTCTGCGCCCTTCTTTCCTTTGCAGCGTTGATCGCTAGCATGGCCCTGCGCACGCTCGGCTTTCGAGCTTGTTTGCGAGTGCTGGAGACAGTGGGGATCCTGCGGATCCACATCAAGCACCAGTGCGGCACTATGAAATCCCCCAACAAACACCTGCACAACATCAACAAACTAGCTGAAACGGCTCAATTGACCCAGGTTTAGTTTTTGACCCACGGCCAAGCTACAGTATTGGTGTTCTTGCAAATCCTGGCACTGCGAGTTGGTACGTAGGTATCTCTATTCGACACCATGCGGCTCGAGATTTTGCCCGCATTCTCCACGATGTTCCCACCAGAAGTGTTGGGTTTCACTGTTCCTGGAACATCCGCTTCCTGAAAGTGTTGAATGTTCCGCTTCCTGAAAGGTAGCGATTGAATGGGATAGAACTCAGTCCACTCTGATGTGCTCGGAAGCCTGTGGAACTTCTTGGATGTTGAATATATATATATATATGTGAGTATATATATATATAAATATCATATTTTTGGCAGGAGATCCCAGTTTGCCAGCTGCTTTCCCTAGAATCGATTTCTTTCGGGCCGATGCCGCCGGTTAATCTTTGTGCAACTTGCAACATGGACAAGCATGGACAAGCTACAAATTCTCCGTCTGATTGGCTCTAAGAGTCCGTTCTCCTTACGATCTTTACTCACAGAACCAGAATTTGTGCTACACCCGAAACATCCACCAACAACCTCCAAGGGCCGACCCCCCCGGGCGCTTTCGCTGGTCTGGAGTCATGAGTCGAGCCTGGGCGGTGAGCCATGTGGTCACATCAAACTCATCAAACAAACCCATATTCTGAACTTTCCTACATAGGTGAAGGACAAATAGATTCAAATAGCCATCCAAACTTGTGGTCTGCGTCTGGATTTCTCAGATCCATCTAAGTTAACATTACAACTCTGTGGCAATCTAAAGTGTGAACAGCACGTGCGGGCGGCAGTCGCTGGGACATCGGCAACACACATGCCTACGCGAGTTTACGAGTGGGTTCTGGCCTCAATCCGGAAGTCTTCACCAGTAAAAATGTTTACTGTCATGACTGTTGATGGAAGAAAGACATGCCCGCTACCACGGATCTCGCAGTGTTCACACATAGGAAGACCATGGTATTGATCATGGAGTTTAGGTGGTGAACTTGCTATGCAGGTTTCTTCCGCCAAAATCCCTGACCAAGACGCTGCCTGTTTGCTGTTCTGCGCGTTACTCGCCCTGCTGTGACTGGCTTTCTGAGCGCTGCCCCCACTGCCCATGGCTTGGACGGCTGCACTACGACGGGCTTGCCCAAACGCCAAGCCCTCACACAACTGAGCCCAAAACCCAGGTGGGTCCACATCGAGTTTGTCAACAGCAAGTGGGCATAAGTGGACTTGGTGCTCTAGCCCTGTTTTCACAACCAGGTGGCAAGGGGTCCAAACAGGCTCGATTGAATTCTATTGGATTCTTGTCTACCAAGCAGGGTCATGTTCCAGCGGTGCAAAAACCATAACACACACACGCACTCCCACACAAGCTCCATGGAAGTTGTGGAAAGCTCAAAAACGGTGTGGTCGAAAGTCGCTTCCGGGCAGGTTCAGCCACTTCCTGGTGAAGTTCTTACAACTCTCAGTATAACCATGGAGCAGGCAGGAGAGAGAGAGAGAGAGATATATAGAGAGAGTCAAAAAGAGAGGGACAATAGAAGAGAGTGTATAGCATGGTATGGGCACGGGGGATCATGGAATTCGGCAGGTAGAATTGGGAGCATCAAACAAGCTACTTTGCACACATGATGCAATTCTGCGGCGATCCCCTTGACAGAACATCCTCCCAATCTCCCAACGTGTCCTCATGCTCTATCCGGTCCAACCTGAAGCAATGCTGATAGTATCATGTCCAATGGCCAACAAATGCGCCAGAAGGTGAGGATGACGGGAACTGTTTGACAAGATCTTCGGCACATCCCATGACCGAACCTGAATATGCTGTTGTGTGCGTTTCTGTTTTGCAGGGGGTTGTATGTGCTAGTTTTCAGGGGATATTGTAATGTGAGGGGTGCGAGGGGCTGTCGAACCAAATCGGGCGGAAGATTGTTTTAGACATTTCTTCCGTTGGACTGCAAAGGTTTTGAGACCAATGAGATTCTGTGTCTCTTTGAAGTTCCCCAGACCGCGCTTTTCGAGCAAGACTTGGTGCTACAGACTCGCTCATCCTGCCCTGGTGACATAATGAGTCTTGAAGCTCCAACTGAAATAGATTCAATGTTCGTCAAAAATCAGGTGCCGCGGCTGCGCGCCAGAAATTCCGCCGCTTGCGAGCATGTTGAAACAACATTGAGAAACACCACGCACAATGTCGACGTCTAAGATTTCTAGTGCGCTACCTGAAAATCCTGAACATCGCAGAGATCGGGTGTGATCGGGTGGTCATCCTCCCTTCCTCCGCAAATCAAAACTCTTGGGCCTGGGAAACGGCCCGAGAAGGGCTTGATCATGGCCAGAAAACCTCCAAATGAGGTATCCAGCAACTCCTCCGGTTAGCTGAGGAAAAAGGCGCACAATCAAAGGCCCTTCAGAGAGGAAAAGATCAGCACGATAAGAGGATACCTTTGTATCTCAGACTGATCGCTTGAGAGAAAACTCCAGTTATTGTGGAATGGAAAAACCAGCCGGAAAAACTGATCACCTCAGTGATGGCTGGTGTCCGTGACATCCGCCACGTGCATGGGGGCAAACGGGTGATGCCAATCCGAGAAAGCTTCATCGGAGACTTCATCCACCGAGCCTCAGGAGCTGTCAGGAGCTTAGCCCGTGGGGTCTGGGGGGGGGGCCTCCGGGGCCTCCTTACTTAAAATAGGAGCCCACTTAATTAAGCAAGGGACAAACTTGTTTGCTCCAAGCTACTTAGACGTTACAGCTCACGCTTCTAATGATTTGGCTACTGGATTTTGGGGGAAACTTAAACCCCGAAGCTCGTAGATCTTGATCTTCGAATCAACAACTTAAACCCCGAAGCGTCAAGAGCTTTCAAGAGCCAAGAGGCAAGAGGAACCGTCAATTCCCACATCGGTCGGTGAGTCGAATTGACTCCGGTCAAAGCAACTGCCCGTACCCAAAAATCTGTTGGGTACCAATCCTCCAAAAACCCAAGTCTGGTTGAAGGACGAGTAGGGCCACCACTTGGATGTTTCTGTTGATAAAACTGCCTGGTGCTATTTTGTTCATTTTGGTGAATGATTAATTTAAAAAGATAGGGAGTTGCTGAGGATGTGAGTGATTCAACCTAATCGCAGGAACGATGCACTGTAGGTGACAGCCATAGCCATAGCGTAGTATCAGCTGACTTAATATACATATTCTACGAATAGCAGGGGTTGTGTCCACTCTTTTTCGCACCACGGCGTGATGCCGGCATCACCCTCCTCGGATGCCGGTTGCGCTTGGGGCACCAGGCAGGTCTCCTCGTCTTCTACCCCCTGACCGCAGTGTGAGGCTGCGTGAGAGTTATATAGGTCGTTCGAAATATGGTTCCTCCAGGCGACCAGGTTGTTTGAGCGGCCCCGCTCTTCAGCGTGCTGGCATGTAGATCAGGTCCAATGAGATAACACCAGGTAGAACGCATGGAATCAAACCAAAAACGTGTCCCTTTCCAAATAAAAATGGCATGCCGATATCTATCAATCCATCCATCCATCCATCCAGCCAGCCAGCCAGCCATCCATACTAAGGAAGTTCGTGGCAAGAACATATTCAATTATGTATACATATATATATATATATTCAATTGCACAGAACTTCTCCATTGCATGGTCACCCCACGGTTTTCAAATCCAGAAAAAGTAACGAACTTAGTCACTCCACTATGCTGGCGCCAATCCACCAGTCCGCCCAGTCCCAAATCACTCTGCCTCCATGACAGTTGCGAGAGACGTCTTGATGCTGCAGACCTGCTCCTGGCCGTTTATCTCACATACTCTCCCTGTCCAAAATGAACACTACGTGGCAACCCAACATACGGTTGAGGTCCATGGACCTGTGGAAAAGCAACGCCTGCTGGGGCTTCAACATCACAAGTAAATTCACAGAAGAATCAACGTCAATCAAACGAATCCCGGAAAAAAGAACGATGATTTTAGCAAATCCTGGGTTACTATTACACACCCAAACGGCCCAAACGGGACAAATACCAATCAAACACGTGGCCATTGTTCCCATGCAACTTCTGCTCCATCAATAGCAGCTTGCATACAGAAACCCTAGGAATTTAACCACCAGGGTTAGAACCACTACCGAGCAACCATTCCTGTACTAACGAGTTTAGATGATTTTAGACTGCAAAACCTGCTCAACCTTTCGTTTGATGGTCTTGGAAGGCAAGCGCACATTGACATCGAGAACAGAGAGGTCACTCCCATGTCAAGGTTCCATATCGTTGGGCCTTTTGAATGCACACACACACCGGCGCACGCATCCACACCGAGGCAAGTCTTCCCATTTTGAACAGCCGAACCAGACTAGTCGGATCGATACTTAGGTTCACCTATCGTGCCGGCAAATCATTTAATTTAAGTCATGTTGAAAAAACACCAGCGTTCGAAAGCACAGGGAAAGTCAAAGGAACATTGTTCATCATTGTTCTCTGTTCTCGTCAGTTTTCAGGCTTCAGATTGATTTTGGGTGAGATATGAACATTCCCCCGCCAACTCGGCCTGACTTTTGCTTGGTTCCTGCATAGGTTCGCTTCGCAGAGCGAGTCCAGATGATCACATGCAATGCTGGACAACAAGCCTTGTGCTCGGCTGAACATGAACATGGCGCTCAGTTTGGACACCAAGGTCCCATGGTGGATCATGCTTCAGACTTTTCATGTGCTTCAGAATACCTAGAGGGTGCAGGGTTGCCAGGGAGGACTGGGCGTGCCAAGTACGCTTGGGTCAGCTGTGCTGGACAAAGATGCATGTCAAACTGATGGTAAATCCTTTACCCAAATGCACGCCAAGAAAGTAAACTGCAGGACACAGAAACAAAGAACCCGGCCCGCGTGCTTTTTCGACCTCCTTTCTGTTCCTTTGTTTAGCACAAACTGGTATATATCGTGTCTACAAAATGACAGGACCGATCCATAGCTTCAATTAAGCAGTGGCAGGACATCGCCCTTACAAGCGGTGGTTGTGAGTTGTCTGATCTCGACTCATGACCAAGGTTCGTCGACAGGTGCGTAACGCAAGTGCACAACTGCCCGATTTATGGGGTCCATGTATGCCTGCGGCTTCTACACTGCTCCCGCGCCAAAACCCCAATATCACCCTCACTGCCATAATAAGATACATGCAAAATCCAATGTGCTTGAAGAAAAATACTAAGGCGACGACTCCTTGACCAAATCTATCCAACAAAACTGGGCCCAAGTGGGCCTGGCCTTAGAATGTTCTTCCCAGTTGTTCCGAAAAACTCCACGTCCAAATCTTCACCTTTCAACAACTCACGTCGCGCGTTTAGAAGCGAGACGGCAGGCTTCGGCGGCTTCGGCCATGCGCTCGGTTGGTTCAGCCTCTGAAGTGGATGGCATCACAGGATCACTAAAGATCACGGCACCGGCCGCTGTTCTTTGGCCTCTGACGCGGCGTTGCAGGCCGCAGGCGTCTACGGTCTACGCTTTTCGATGCGAGATGGCAGGCGTGGGTGGAGAGGATGGGAGATCAAATCACTTGAGTGCGAAGCAGAAATAAGAGAAATTGACATGTTTACAAATTAAACAATTGATATCAATTGATAACATTTGTCAAATTTTGAACAAAAAGAGATTGATGGTCAAAAAAGGGTTGGGAGGAGATTTGGGTGCTCAGGTTAGCTTGATATAGACTACCGTTCGACAGAATACCTGGTCCCGCCAGAATACCTGGTCCTGCCATGAGGGTCGAAACCGAAATTGGACCAAGCACCATGACACCCCATCACGGAGCCATCAATGGCTGGGATGGCCTTGGAGAAGTAAGTTGGTCACGTCTGAAGAAAAGGTGTTCCGTCTGCCGTTTGAGTTCGGTCTGCATGGGTGGGTGCTTCAAGAGAGCCCATCTCGTGCCCTTCACGAAAAACATAAAATCTGTTGACTCTTCTGTACTACCTAGGTGGAGTTCTTTGAGCATCTTGGACTTGAATTTGAGGTTATTGGTCAAGGTCCAGCACTAGCAGCATGTGGTGTTCGAAAGAAAGGGGGATGTACCAGGTACAATCTGACTGGGGCGCGTGATCTATCTGCCTCCGCGGGATGTTCGTTCGGACTGCCCAGCATTTCAGACTGGCCTTTCTGGAAGGCTTTCGTTTGCTCAAGGAAACCGACCTTCATCAATCGCCTGCATGGGCAAAGCTGTGCTTCACGGCTGCACTGAAAGGACGGCTGCTGGGCGAGGGGATTCCAATCGAAAACGACGTAGAAGAGTGTGAAAGAAGGCTCTGCTCTTACCAAGGGTGAGGAAAGCCCTTTGGTCCCATATGGTCCCATTGGTTTGATGGATGAACATCTGTCATGGACCTCAGGAAGAAAATGGATGAAAATGGATCAGATCATGAACCAGCTTAATGTCAACCGGGTCAATCCCCTCTTTTATGGCTTTCTCTTCACTAAACCTCTTTTTGAGGACTCATGGGCCCATGAATCACATTTTGGATCTGAAGAACACAAAAACCTGGGAAGACTGAGCAACGGAAGTACCCAAGATAAGCTGCTCTTCCAGGTCATGACCGCACCCCTTTCGGAAGCTCTTCTCCTGCCTTTTGCTACGGCCTGCCGCTTTAGGTCCAGACATTGCACCGGCAGTAATTGCTGCGCTGGCACCGCTCCCCATGTCAGATGGTCAGCTTGCAGCTCCGTTCAGCCCTATGAGCAGATTGAAAGGCTGCGGCTTTCGTGTGCAAACGTCAGAACCCATCAGAACCCTGCAGAGACCCTGCAGAACCCCATCGTTTGGACGACCAATCATCGGGATGGTCGCCGGGACGCCGCGGTCACGTTCCCATGGAACGAGTTCGTTCCGCCCGTTCGGCCTGGAAGGGTCACGGGACTCGTTCCAGTCCTTTTCTCTCCCGTTCCGATCCTGGTCTCCAAATCAGCACAAAGCTCCCAAACAGCACAAAGACTTCAAACAAACAGATGGACGACTGACAGTTGGTGTCGGACCTCTCCAAACAAAGGCCGTCCTCCGGCACAATGGTTTCAGCCTGTCTTCCTTGGGGTCTAAAGATCGAGAAAAACGACCCTAGGTGGATCTGGTGGTTCTGAGACCAATTGCCCCTTTGTCCAAACCGTCCAGAACAGGCTGGGGACTATGTATATTGGTCCATTGACACAATGCAAGCAGTGCTGTAGTATTTCTTGTGGTCATATTAACTGATCCCAGAAAACGACTAATCTTTTGACAAATGCTGCCTTGGCAAGGTGAGCACTCGCACCGCCCACCCCAGACTGACAGCCAGCTCCTCTGCCGAGACTGACACATGGCGCTGGTCAAGTGCGTGTTCAAGAGATGAGATTCAAGCGAATCTTTTCGTAAAACCCCAGTGTTTGGGGAAATACGTTAAATAATTGCATACGTTCTTATTTAACTTTGTTTTTTCCCACATCTTTTAGAAAATACTTTGATGAGCCACATTCTATAGTGGATAATGACGGTTAGTAGGGACCGACGTACCCACAAATACTCTGTTTTACCGACCTCTACACCATGATACAAGCCCTGAATAGCTGTCCAGTACTTCTTTTGCTGTCGACGACTGGGTGTGGGGCAAAGCGCCACACCTGCGGCTATCATTCCTGCAACTGTGTAGAACTGGGAAAGGTACAAGCTCGCCACTCCTCAGCTAAATGTCCCACTTTTTACTAACTTCATGGTTTTATATACTTGAGGTGGAGAGTGGGTCCATCAACAACACCTTTCACAAATTTTCACACAATATTATGCTTGATGAACAGGTCCTCTCTGACTACTAGAGGTCAGTTATGTATCGGTGTGTGACAGGTGATAGGTGAAAAGTATAGAGATGCTCCTGGGGGTGCGCCTTGAATGTGCCCTGGGTGCAGCTCATTCCGTGGTTGTGAGGACATTTCGTGGTCACATGATCTATGCGGCTCTGGTGCCTCTACAGCCAACATCTTCCACGCGGCAGGCTGCGAAGAAACGTTGGCTCAGGTGACTGGTTGGTCCCTCATAGGAAAAGTTCCTGCAGACTGAAACTTGCAGCAAAAACTGCGGGACAAGTACGAATTGCCAGCAAAAGACTTTCCTCTGTTCTTTGAAGTGCTTCAAGCTCGAAGGAGGGATCTTGTACAACAAGACTTGTGGAGGGCCGTTTGTTCATCCATCTCTGCAACTCTTGAGGTGTAGGCCCGGCACGAAAGGATTGAAACAATGGTCAAACACTACACCGAAAACTTGCAGAACATGGTCTTCCCTTGGTTCCAAAGTCAGAAACATGTGCATCAACGGCAGTCCCCCCAACATGAAGCTTGCTCTCTTGGAGGAAAGGATTGATGGGTGTGGAGGGGATGCTCAAAAGGGCTGGGTTCCATCTTTCCATCGCCACCGTCGCCTCTTTTCACTCGCAAGCCGAGGACACCGCGTCCTCGCCCCGCAGTCGGGCAAGCAAGTTGCCTCGGTTCCAAGTCTGTCTTCAGCCTGTGCGTTGCTTTTTTCGAAAGAAGGATGTAAGGCAAGGCGAGATCTCCGATGCTTGTCAACTTATTATGTATTAGTATCACCACATGAAATGCTTAGATGCCTCAAATATTTTCCAATACTTGGCATGGTGGGGCATGAGTGCCCCCATTCCAACTTCGACTGGCAGGACCCGTAAACCCACCTAAAGCTTCGTAAAGACCTTCAACATGATTCCGATAGCGAAGCGAGTGCCATCATGAAAATGTGCAATGTTCTTTGTTGTCCTCTGTTTCAGGACAGCCATGCACTTAAGTAAACCCGGCGATGAACCAGTGTGGCGTATTCTCTCACTGGAGTTCCGATGAATCCGATGGGTCCACGTTCCGTTTCACCGGTCCGTCTGTCGTCTCCCGAGACGCGGAGGAAGCCTCGGTCGTAGGGGTTCTGATATTGGCCCTGCTCGTCCAGCAAGTAAGGCACCGGCCTGCACCCGGAAACATGAAAACGGGGGCGAACATGAAACAACAAACACTCACCCTCTGCCATACCCCATGCTATGACCTGCAGGTCACTGGAGTTCTTCCTCGCTCGTACCACCTCTGTAGCATTTCTGGTTCTAACCAATTCAAGAAAGAAAACACTTGGGCAGGCACTGCAGCACGTCGATCTGGGTCTAAGAAACAACTGACTCGAGTCCCTCTTCCCTTCTAAGCAAGCCCTTTTGGTAGCTCCAAACATTTGACCCATAGTTACAGTTCCGCGTCGCACCTCTGCTTGCTGATTTGAAGCATCTCCCAGGTCGTCAACCCGAAGCAGTTCAGCGCTATGTGAAAGGCCACAAGCACTGTCGGTGCCAGTGCCATCGCCACATAAAAGCCCACCAGCACTGCGCGAGAGTGTAAGTGCAGCATGGTTGTGTTTTCTCAGGGAGTGAAGTGGGTGAAGAAAAGATATGGGGCAATTTGGGTGCGTGGTGAATAGGAAGAACCCCAAAACCCAATAGCAAATGGGACCACACCCAAGGCACTGGAGGTTGATTTCGGCCCGATCGAAACCTTCAGTGTGGAGAAAAGCCCCAAATCTCAGAAACGGTCCAACTGCGGAGGGAGAGGGATCGCCGTCGCAGGCTTCAGAGGGATCACATGCCGTCGGACGCAGTCTACAAAGCCGATCGCCACCGACCACACAAGCCGTCGGGAGTGTTTGAGCTCAAACTGGTGGGACTTAGCCATGCGAGGAGCATCGGCCTGGGAGGTATCTTGAATATGCCATTGGGGGGGTATCTTGAATATGGAGCCTACCCACTCATCACTAGTGGGTCTGCGGTCCTTCTGACACAAACGACCAGTCTTTTCTCAGAGAGGACCTCAGAAACCAATGGCCCAGAAGCCAATGTTATTGAAGATATTTAACATGATTTAAGCCTGTAAAGGGAGGCACAAACAAACAGGATTCCGCCCTCTACCCTACCTTGAAGTATAACTTTACAGGGATGTGTGTTGGATGACACATGACTTTCTCGAACCACCTATCCCGCTTCTCGGAGTCGGAGGCCTAGACAGTCCAGGCGCCATGCAGCCCAAACCAAACAAATGCACGTGCAAACTGCCAGAGAGATGCAGCCGAAGAAGGCCCCATAGTTGCCTCACTGCTTGACGGAGAATAGAGTGGGGCCTCACTGTTGAATCCATGGGACATGCCAAGGCCGAACAGCAAAAGTCCGACGTGGATGGAAACTCCACTCCATGTATCTCCATTGATGGCCATTTTTGGGCCCCCGCCAAGGATTCATGATTATACTGTGGTTGTTTCACGTTATTTCTATGGAAAATGGTCCCTCTTTTGTGGGTCTGCCAGACCTGTGTGCTCTCATGGGTACACTCCTATCACCCTGCGTGGATGATCGCAGTGAACCTCATGGATGGGATCAATTCAAGCGATCGCCCACCGCGCGATCGATACACAGTAAATCCCTCCGCTCAAACGAACGGACAAAGCCCTGGCAAGAAAATGATCGAACATGTTATTTGGTGAGGACATGTTGTGACATGTGAGGACTATGTCAGTTGTCTCATGCCTCTGACTGAGGCTCTTGAAGGAAATTTTCAGAACTCTCACTCAGAAAAGTTTGATACCAGTTTGCATCGGCATCACTAGCACTCTTTCTTAACCCAATAAGTCGGCATGCTTGTTCCATCATAGACGCGCTCATCTAGGTCGCTCCTCCCCAGAAGCTGAACTTCGTGCAAACCCTTGTGATACTATGGTACACAACGAGAAAAACAATTAATGGACATCGAATCGAATCATGCAACAAAACAAATATGACCCCTGGTGGTTGCAGTCTTTCTTTTCTTTTTTGAAAAAGGGTCGACATCCTTCACCGACCTCCCTGCCACGGAGCCTTGGCCCACCGAGTTTCCTCAGCGGTCGGACTCGGAGAGCATGGCCATCATTCAAAACGAAGACTGTTGACGGAAAAGGTCCCGCACCATCTTGGAACACAACCCAGCTTGTTAAACCTCGATTTCTCCTGCCTGGTGCCCACTCAAAAGAAGGAGAGACTAACCGACAAAAAAAGAAGTACAGAGCTGGAAGTCAGCCATCCTTCTGCTGGTGGTACCAGTCAGTCTCACTAACAGCCACCCCGTACTCCATCCCACACCCCATCGCATTTCTGCCGTCTTTGCAGTTTCAAGTGGCGCAGGAAGGCGCAGTAGTGGTCGAAGACAGGCACGATGCGCCGCGTCGCTGAACCTGAGCGCATCGGTCTTCGATCGATCTTCCGGTCTTCGGGGAGGTAAGGAACGTTGGAAGGTCCATATTTAGTTCATGCTTTCCTTCTGTCGCCTGGAGCGAACCGATGAAGACGGAGAAGGCAAGCCGAAGATCGGAGCTTGATTTCCGATGGCCACCAAGACCGACGACGCCCGACCGACCCGCCAGACCCCGACACGGGCGAACGACGTCGGGTCACTCGTTTGCGAACGGCGTTCCGGTGCAGCGAAGGGAGCAGAACTTGGACCGCTCGGGGCCCAGCATTCTCAGCTCGTGGATCATCGGCGCCTCACGGGTGAAGCTGGGGGAAATGATGTGAAACACATTGAAACACCACCTTTCGTGTACAAAAGATGACAAGATGCGTGAAGTACTTAGGTGATTTGGGTCTGTGGCATGTGAATGATGGCTGGCTGGTGGTCTATAGTCCCGACCCATACTCTATAGTTGGTTCTTAATTCGTGCAAACTCGATGGACAATGTCGCATGTGAACGGGATCCGGTGATCCAGATCTTTTCCAGGCTGCGCCCTCTACTCTCCATCTAGCCACTTAGTGGCACAAGAAATCCTTGTAGCTATATTTGCACAAAATCACGAAACGCTTGCAGCAAATTCCCCTGAATATCCCTGAATCATGAACTACCTTCCACACCAAAAAAAACAAAGGTCGTGACTGCGTGCCCCTGCCGTCGTGACTGCGCCTTGGTGCCCCACCATTGGAAGAGCTCTTCCGGGCTGTTCCAGGTTACAGCCTTGGGGCTGAACGGGACACATCGTCGGTTCGCTCTGTTTTTTATTGGTGAGGAGCTACATATCTTTTTGACGTGTGCGTTTTGAGCAGGGCAGGGGCGTTCCACATGCCCAAATCGATAGAATCCATGAAAAATCATGGAAAACGCAAAGTCTACTTTATAGATCAAAAAAGCACTTCTGTTCCGGTCGAATTCCGATGTTCTTTGCCTGCTCTGCCATCTACCATGGACCCAACTGTCACTGGTGGCCACGTGCTCCAAAAATGACGCAATCTGACTGATCAAGAACCCAGGTTAAGTTATATGTGTGTATATACTGCATACCATAATTATCCATAATCTTAATGAATTAAGTCTTAATGACATGTTAATTTACTGCGCAATGTTGGTAGAACAAATCAGGACCAGTGTTCCGCGTTCCACGCTTGCGTGCTAATGGTTTATTTGAACCACCCCCACCCACCCTCCACCAGGTGGCGGCCGCATGCCGCAGTGCCAGCTCGTAACCCTCCTCCGCGCCGGGCATCTCCGGTGCTGCGCCGGGCGCCGGAGCCGCGGAACGACAGGCGGCCATGAAGAAGCACACGTAGCCTGACGGGCGCTCCGGGCTCTCCGGCGGCGGTCTGGGCCCGCACCGGACTGTGGTTCCCCTGCAGTTAACGGGTGAGGGATTTAAATGCAAACCTGCGCCTGCAAACCTGGAAGTCAACTTCTCAGGGGGTTGGGGCGGTTGGGTAACCCTAGATTTTTCTGGAGCGATGCAGTTTCCGCTTGGCAGTAGCAGCTCAACTGGTGGGTGTTGAAAGACCTTTTCTGCTAGGCAGGCCAAGTAGGCACGTACTGTACTGGCAGTTTGTGGTTTCGAGAGTAAGAACAACTGTTCACCACCAGAGTGAACTGAGGTGCAAACGTCAGACTTGTGGAGCAAGCAGCAAATCTCAGGAAGCCTCCCTAGCCTGAAATAAGAGATTTAGAAGGTACGTCAGCAGCTGCGATCTCTGATAGCAGTGTTTTGCGGGACATCTTTGCAAGGACAAGGGTCCAGCTACCACCAACACCTCCGGTGACCTCGCCTGCCAGCGTGCAGCCCATGGCTATAATGCAAAGGATCTCAGTCACCTCATCAGCATCACCTGGAATTAAACATGCGAAGGTAACGAACCTCTTTTCAGGCCGTTTGAGGAATGGTATGATCCTCTGGCAGGTCTACTGTTCTCTGGCCGTCGAGGTTGAAACGCGATTCAGGCACTATGCTCAGGGCCAAAGGCACAAACCCAGCCAAAGTACATGAGTGCATGAACCAGGCCTTCACAACTGCGCCCCATAAACTCATGTCCTGTCCCCTCCGGCCAAGGAGACTAACTTACAAACTCCAACCCCTTTGAGGTCCGGTCAAGGCCTGTTGCAGGTCCTGGGGGTCAACCAGCAGGTGAATGTGTTCCACCCCTGGACATCAATCCTGTCCTTGTTTGAGCCGATCTGGCGACCAGGGCAAGTTTCTTGGCTGGGGCCCCGCCCAAGCCACAAAACCGTAGAGAGAAACTCTCTTCTGATCCAGTCCCCAACTTGCTGGCTGTGCGACCCACCCACCTCCTAGTCTGTCACATGTCATGCGGGTCTTCTACAATGACTTCCTGCAGCCTCCATGATCCACGCACCTTCCAGATCCAGCTTCAGCAGCCTCCAGGCACCCAGCAGCGCCAAGACGCCCGACAGCAGCGAGAGCTCCCGTGGATGGGTCTGCCACGAAGCGCTGCGTTCGGCGTTGGCCGAGCTTGCGAGACGTGTCGGTTTCAAAGAAGAGTCCAACTCGGCGGCGTAAACGGGGGAAGAGCTGGAAAGGATTGAGGAAGCACTGCCAGATGCTGCAGATTGATGTGTTTCATTTGACACTGCTTTGGCCAACCAGCTCAGAAAGCCTTTGCAAGGCCTCAAGGCTTCTAGACTCTAAACAACAAATCACAGGGAAAACCGTCAATTGGCGTCCTAGCATGGGGATGACAGCTATGATGAACAGGGGCACAAAAGGCCTCCCTCTGCTTCAAACGTCTTCAAGTCACAAGACGGTTCAACTGAGAACATTTTGCTGGATACCAAGCTCAAAAACTGATCAGTACCAGGACTAGCTCCTGAAATCATATGAAAGCTGAAAATCGCATGGCGCCAGCTCTGCGCGTGCGCCCTCGCGTGCGCCTGCACCTGCTCGGGCCCGCAACCACAAGGTTGTGGAGGTCCACAACCTCGGCTGATCAACCAGCGTCACCGGCTGTTCACAGTCCGCTTAAATTCTGAGGTATACTATGCTCCAATCCTCGGTTTCCATTCGGAAGACAGCCTCCAAGTACCTTCCCAAAAACAGCCTCTAGAAAAAAGAAAAGACACGATGTACAATGCCAGGCACTGAAGAAGCCAAACTGGCCTGGCAGGAGCTGGTGGCAGCCCACCTACAAAATCGGCAGGTTGGACATGGTGGATTTGACCAGCAAAAACAACCCCGAGGACAGCACTGAATATCTCCAGCTCCGTTGACTATATATATATATATACTAACACACAGCTTATATATGAGATATAATATATATATATATACACATTATACAACTTCCTTCCACTGGCCATATTTTCTCATTTGTTACTTGCATCCATTCCCTTAACGATTCTTGTTCACCATTCTCCTCTCAGGTTTCACCAAAAAAAGCACAGGACATCTACGAAAAATTGGAACACCAAAACGCTTCAGGCCTCCCAGGCTCGGCCCGATCGTCGGTCCCTGCTCGCCGCCCCATCGGTCGCCTGATGCTCCAAACATCGCCGTACCCAGCCGCCGCCGCCGCCGCCAGTGCGCAAGAGCGCCTCACGCTTGATCTCAGCGGGGTGGGTACTGCCCAGCAAGGCATCCGAGAGCACCAGCTGCCTCGTTTTGGCGCGCGGCAGCTACCAGGAGTTGTAGCGACTTTTGGATGGCCTTTGATTGGCGTGCAGGAAGAGACCTTTGATGGTGTCTGTATAGGGAAGAAAAACCAATTGAGCCAACGTCTTACGCGGGTATTCTGCGATGTTTCGTTGCTGAAAAATATTCATTGGTTGAGATGTGCTGCTTGAAGCCGACGACGGTTGAGGAGTGATGTTGAGCCAAGTGTTTGAGCGGGTCTAGGTGCCAGGATAGCGCGACTTGCGGGTCTGGACACGTGGATCAGCTGAGATGTTCTGCTTGTTGCTTCAAAGAGATTGCAGAATTGTTGTATTTATTGCAAGTTGAGAATAGATGGTGCAGGGCACCAAGGAAAGTAATTATATACAGATGTATGCACCCGCAGTGTTCTGGATAATGTGCGAACGAGAATACGGAAACCTTCCCAAATCCCAAGTTTGGAAGGTTTCAGCAAACAGCACGGTGGCAGCATCACTTGCAAACGTCTCGAAAACACCCACACCTATGATCCTATGGTTTCTACTCACACCAAGGGTTTCCGTGTGGTTCCCGCACGAACACCCTGCCAGGTGTCAAAGAGCGGTGCTGGCCTATGGCGGGGTGAACCCTCGGCGCCAAGTTGCTCGACCACTTCCAAGCGGTTCGCATCCACGGCAGCACCTGCGACCAGATGGAGATGAGGCCAGACAGACTGTGAGGAGTTCGTCCTTTTGCTGTTGGGGGGGTGGTTAGATGGTTATAGCTAAGTGTTTAAGTGTCCGTTCCCTGAACGTGCTTTCTTTCACAAACTTCTTCAAAGTGACTCAACCACCCTCCAATTCACCGAAACCATCTTCACCCATCCTCCAGGCCCTTGGCCCGTGGCCGCCTAGTGCCGTCCTCCCTTCAGCGTCCTTCAGCTCCACCGGAGCGCCCAGCGTCGCCAGCAGCGCTGCCATCGACGCGCCGCTCGCTGCAGCGCCTGAGCCGCCGCTGGTGGTGGCCGCCAAATGCAGCGGGCTGAGGCCATCCGAGTCGACTGCCCTGAGCAGAGCATGGACCGTTGGGGAAGGGCATGGAAGGGCCAAGACATCCAAAACCAAGAAAAGGTCCAAGCAACGGGCAAGCAACGGATATTTGGTCAAGCTAGTTCAGCCCAAGACTCAAGAGGCAAGAGCACGACCGAGTTGACAACCCCCCCAAATATCCCCAAATCCCATGTCTACCAAAGCATACCCAATGAGAGGATAAAATCTTCCCATCTCATCACCTCCACCATCTCCTGGGGCCCTGATCTTGACCAAGCGTCCCGAGCTCTGCCCTCCTCTTGGCCAGCCAAACCACTGCCTCGGGTGCCCGAGCCGCCACCGCGTGCATCAACGGCGTCCGCTGCCGCGCGTCCCTCGCGTCCACATCCTGGAAGGCCTGGAGGGAGTGGTACACCGTACGGACTCAGTTTCCGAAAAAATGCGAAACCTGGCAACTGGCTACTAGAACGCATGAGTGGATATGTTGGGTCACTAGTCGTCAAAGAATTCAAAATTCCCACTGTGAATTGCTGGGGATTTGCCAAATCATCGAATAGATACTGTATATATAGTTCTACTTTTGCCGGGCAATCTAAAAACAAAACCATCTTCCAATAATTGTTGGCTTGGATTCTCCAATACTGCACACTCATTCCACACAAGGCAATAACCAACAGCAACAGACTTGGCTCAAACGCACCTGCGACAGGACGTCCATGGCCCGTAGCTGGTTGCTGGCAGCCGCCAGGTGCAAGGCCGTGGTGCCCCGGAATGTCTGGCACGGCCGTGGTGCGTCCCCGCCGGACAGGGAGGAGACTGATGTGATGGTTGGCGTTGTAGCGTTGATGGTGTCCATACCCAACTCAATAGTGCATGTCAAGCTTAATCAAGGGCCCCTAGATATAGATCTACATTGTTACATAGTCTATACATTTGTATAATTGAGTGGGCGATGATCCAAAGGAAAACCGCCCAAACGGCCTGCCGCAAGCTCTCCGCGCACATCGAGCGCAAGAGGCCCACATCGCCCTGTTGAGCAGCCACATGCACCGGGCCTGGGGAAAGAGTCATCTCATTAAGAAAGAACTTCAAGGTATGCCTAAATGACCCATCTCATTAAGTAGCCCATCTCATTCATTGGCAAGTAGCAAATATCATTTATTAGTACGAAGCCCATCTCATCTCTTTCTCCTGAACAAATTCCCTTCAAAAGAAACCATACCAAACTCTTGATTCGGTGATTTCTCCTCAAACCAAGGGGCTCTGTAAGGATGCTAAGGGGCCAAGGGGTCTACCAGTCGAAGCGAGTGCCAAGCTCAGAAGTTTGTGCGTAACAGAGGCCGTTTCACACTTGCCACTCCCAAAAAAACATTGGTAAGTGGACCCCGAAGAGCAAGGGAGCAACTGGACAGACTTGTGGCAAAGGATATCCCCCCAAAATGATCTAAAGTGGATGCCGCTTGATGCCGCCGCTGCATGAGGATGCACCAAACCATTGTCATTCTCGTGATTGTGGGATTGAGATCCATCCCGAACCCTTTACAGAACCACGGGCTTTGAGGGTTGTCAAAGGTGCAACTGGAAAAATATGATCTGCCCTTCATACCATGACATTCTTCTGCTAATGTTCCAAGAAAAGATTGGCCACTAGCTTTGGTAAAGCAGTACCCAACCAACCCCGGGCTTTTCAAAACAAACTTGCGTTGCTGCTTCCAGATTTAGGCCTTTAAACTCTGCCCTTTGCTTGTCCAGTTTGGTTGGCACGCCTGGCTCCTCCACAAGCAAAGGCTCATCTGCCATGTTGGAAGGCACCAGCTGAAGGTGTGTTTGTGGAGGGTTTGGATAGGGTGGAGTAGGGTGGACCAGGATGAACCAGAAGTTGAAGTAGGTGCGTAAGTTGTTAAAATTTAAGTTGCCCTGAAATGCCTCAGGATTTACGTTTTCGAACCAAGTTGAGTGGGCAAACAAGAACAAAACTCGTGGGAGGTCTTCTACTTCTATCTCCAAGAGTTGTCTTCTTTTTACACGCCTACAGGAGCTGTCCAGAAAGAAGTCATGAAAACAACTCACAACGAAATCATCTTCCACCCCACTACGATGCACTACGTCACGTCGTTCTTCAGCTCGAAGCAGACCGTTCCCGGAGTCGAAGCCGAACGAAGTCGCTTGAATCACATCGGATCGGTCTCCACACGGAGACCGAAAGGGAAGAGGAAACTCCCAGGTTTCCTCAGAGATGAAAAAAAGAAAAAAGTGAAGAAACTCAAGGTGAAGAAACCAGAAAAAAAGAGGAGCCCATAGGTGGTGATGGTGTTGGTTTGAGGTGTTGTAGCTCAACGTGCTGCAATGGCTTCAGTGGCTCTCACATAAAACTACTTTTGGGTTGCAAACCCCCCCTGCGATTCGACATGACTCGAATATTGACTAGCCCCTGCAGCGTTTCTTGTCAGTGGTAGGAGGGGATCTCATTACGATTGTGTGCAGCTTACTTGGACACGGTAAGTGTTAGCGGAAATTGAGCCATTGTGAACTCCAGTGGTATGAAGGGTTCACTCTGGCCTGCAGACGTGGCGGCCGAGTTCCGCCGAGCCGCCGAGCTGCCTTGTTTCTCACGCACGGATGTAGGGTCTAGAGATCTCGCCACAAAACCTTTGTGAGACATCTTCAAGGTCCAGAATCAACTGGAAACCGGAAGAAGTGAAGGGTTGGTGGTCTTGTCATGTCTTCTCTGTCGGGACTCCAGCAATTTTGTGCCTCAACCAACATCTCGTTGTTCGTGCGCGTGTTCCGGACCTCGGCCGTTTAAACCTTGGAACATCTGACACTCAGACCTAGAGCAATCGGAAACTCTTCAGACCGTCCACGCTCATTCCGCGGACAGTGCGGTGTTCAGCTGTTTTCTCCAAAATTGCCCCATGGCCATGTCAAGGAGAAGCTTCCTTCCACCTCAGGCCCTGTCAGATAGAGCTCGCCGCTACTTTGCAAGAGGTACCACGTCGGGTCAAGGTGGGGCAATGTGTTGATCTCTTCACACCGTCACCAGAAAACGCCATTTGCCCTAACCCGACCGCCGGTTCCCTTCCTCCGAAACTCTACGTACAACGCTCATCTCAGTCGAAAGTAAGATGCAAACCCGCCAGAGCTACCTGCTGTACTGAACCCCTAGCTGCTAGCTTTGAGATGTTGTTTAAAGATGCAGCACAGGATTCTTCCTCAAGCCTTGCCCTAGCCCAAAGGCAAGTAAGTCCGCAATGTCCAGAGATGGGTGGGTTGTTCTGGCTTGTGCTGTGAGCGTTGATCCAAGGCCCTAAGAATTGAACTGACATTCGGTGACATTCGAGGATCATCTCAGAGTTTAGGGAAGTCAGTTTCTGGACCGAGAACAAGCACCCCCAGGCCAAACTCCTCTCTGGCCAAGGGCTGAAAAGACCGCCAGTCATAGTTTCATCTCTGCTTATTAGATGCCTTCCCAAAGCTGTCGCTTTTCTGACCCCAAGTGGGAAGCGCCGGCAAAAAGCCATGCACCATGCACCGGCTCGCTGCGGTGCACTGTGCCCGCCACAACTCAACTCCGTCCTCACATGACCTTGTTGAGCAGCTTGCCTTGGTCAAAGCTGAGATCCGATGTTGGCATGGTTCTTTAAAGTAGAAGAGTGACGAACATGGATGGTCAAATGTGGGCATCTGGGGAAGAGAGCAGGATTCCCAAGAGTGGAAAACATGGCTGGTTCATCTCCTTTGAATCTCCATTTCACCCCACTCCTTTCGTCAAAGAGCTCGGTACACAAGACCTTGACATGTATCTGCATCATTGAACAAGGGCCTCCTGCTGTTGGCCATGTTCCTGCACAAATTGGGTCTGTTCCATCAGCTCTGCTTGTTCAAAACAGAGTAGTTAATGTGGGTAGCCTGCCTTCTTCTATAGAACCAATCCTAGAGATGTCTCGACTCATTGCTGTGGCACAACCAAACAAAAAAATTTCCTGCTGTCACAAAACAACTTCTTCATTCGGAGCACGAATCCTGGTGTCCCTCCTTTGACCACGAAAGCCCCGTCCGATCGATCGAGATCGGACCGAACAAACGGCGACAAGGTCACCGGTGTGGAAGCTCCGTCGCCCTCGGATGGCCCCCACCAATCCCGGAGAGCTCCCCTCGGATCTTCTCAGCACCGGTGCTGATCACTGGGAAGAGAGCAAAGCTGATACCGCTGGTCATGCCCACCTGCCCAACTCGTCGCTCGCAAACACCCCCCACGCCACGCCGCGAGTTGCCGGGAGTCCATCGGAGGCGGTCTACTCACAACAGTGTTTTGATGTGTTTTGTGGTTATCCTCATGAGTTCCATTTGGACCATATGCCTTTGTCTTTTCTATCTGCCACCTGAAAACTCTTCACAAAATGTACACAACTACTGAAAGCCGCCGAACATGTCTTCCCCGTCTTCCCCGGCTGCTTCTCGCACCTGTACGCATCGGGGGATTGCTCCAGAGAAGAACGCGCTGGGGCCCTCCTGTCGCAACATCTTCATCCTCAGCCGTCGTCAATGGGGAAACCTCCAAAGCCGCACATGATTGGTGGAAGGGGCCTGATTCCACCCTTGGGGCTCCAGAAACAACGACCTACCAAATCGATGACTGTTTGGTGCGAAACTGGCTACATTCATTGGTGCACGTGCTTTCCCAGTTTCAGCAAAGCCCTCAAACAATCCCTAACCTAACATGAATATACATCACGTCAATTCTGCCACATGGTCCAAACCAGAGGTTTGCCTCCGTGGAGAAGTTCGGTTTGTTAAAAGCGGTTCTCCATATACAGAACTTGGTTTGCTAAGAGTGGTTTTGCAAAATGAAGCCGTAGTTGCAGTAGAAACCAGTTGGCTTGACAAAGTGAGCGGTTCAAAATGCAGTCGAAGTTGCGGTGGAAACTACGTATATAACTTTCAAAGTGCGACTCTGCACAATGCAACCGTCGTTGCGGTAAAAAACCTGCTTAGTTGGCAAAGTAAGCCTTTACAAACTGAAACTTGAGGTATAGAAACCAATTCACCAAAGTGGGCCGTTGCAAAATGAAGCCGTAGTTGGGTAAAACCAGTCCAAAAAAACAACATGAAGCCCGGTGTGCTAAACAAACAACAGCCCAATTGACAAAGTGAGCAAAACAAATCGCGGTTGTCGGTTGTGGTAGAAACCTGTAGAATCTTAGATCAATCTATTGACACAGTGAGGCTCTGCACCAGCTTGGGTTTCTACCAGCTTGGGTGACAAAGCGTCGTTTCTGCTGCGTGAAGTTGTAGATGGCTTACTTGAAACCAGCTTACTATCGCAAAGCGAATGGCTGCGGTGAAAAGAGCTCAATTGACAAAGTGATGTTTTGTGAAGTCGAAGGTGGTCTTTGTTCGTGCGTGCAAGTGTTCTTGTACGTGCGACTCCCGCCTTAGGGCTATACCGACGAGTTATTGCTTTACTTTTGTACGATGGTTTTGGGTCGCACCCGCGTTCTGTTTGTCCTGGGCAAACTGCGCACACAAAGGGTATGAGTTGGTCCAAGTTAATTGGGTATATGATAATATAAGAGTGGTACTATATCATATACCCAATTGGTACTTAGTGGATATATGGTCTTTACAGTATAGTTGGTACTTCGTGGTCTGCTCACGTCTTTTCCTCGGGAACCCCAAGAAGAAGGGCGATCTGGGAGGTGATCTTCGGGTCACGTGTTTGGCCAAGGACCGTCAATTATTGGCGGTCCATCTACGGATCTACGGCCATGGTATGTCGTGGATCTCACAGGGAGAAATAGTTACAAGAAGTTGTTGCCAACGGATGGAAGTGTGACTGGTAAGGCTCGCTGCTTCCATGGCCCGGTCAGTTGAATGCCAAGGGCATCCTTCAACTGTACCTGCCACTGAAAGGTTTCCGCTCTACATGCTCATGATGGCTCAAGCAAAGGTCGCATCTTCCAGTCCTCAACGACGGTGGAGTGGGACTTTCCGGCATAACGTTTACAAGTTGTCAGTTGTCCATAGTTTTCGTATGTATTGAAGTTGCCTTTGTCTCCCTTCACAAGTGTCTCCATGTGTCTCCTTACACTGATCTGCCCAGCCACCCCGAACTCCCCACGAAGTCACCTGACCTGCAAACTGTTCTGCCGCAGCAGATCGTCTTCCGCCGAGCATCGCGCAGTCCACGGTGCCGGAGTAGAGCTCCTCTCGGTGATCAAAAAGCATCGACAACAAACACAACCTCGACCGCCTCGACATGCAGATTGAGAGGAATGTCCGGACATGCACCCCCTAGCACCGCCTTGCATCCGAGCAGTCAAATGGTCACGCCTTCCGGGAAGGATTTGAAAGGTACTCCACAAACGAAAAAGCAGTCAAGCTTGGCAAAAGTCATGTTCTAAAGGTAACAAGACCGTGAATCTACTGATCTGGTCATTCTGGTCCAGCCCTGTATTTCTAAGAACAAATCTCAGGGCTCTGCACGACTGGAGCATCTTAATCAAAATTGTATACACTTGTTTTGTTCTCCAAGCATAATAGGACAGCTCAATCCAATCAAAGCACCCAACGAAATCAAACATATCCCATTTCCGTTGGGATTGGGCTTCTGTAAACTTGTCTCAGTAGCTCAAAAGCTTGAACGGTCCGAACGCTCCAACGATCTGCTCCGATCTGCGCCGCAGATGACGCTCCTTCGCCGCCTCACCTTGCATTCGGCTCTTCACACAGTCCTCACGGGCGGTATGAAGAGGATCGGTCAACGGGGCTCGGTCAACAGGGTTGCAAAAGGACTCATGTGCCTGTTTCGGGCGAAGGTGTTGACTACATAGTCGCAAACCCATCCATCTGCAACTTCTTTGTGGAAGTGGCATGTGATGAGGTGGGCAAATCCAAACCATTCCAAGTTGGAAGTTTGCCTGGGCCAGTAGCAGGATCCATATTCGTCGTGGTTGAACCTCTTTCATCCTCTTTCCTCATCAACCCGCCGCCCTTTCACATCAACCCCGCGGCATCCCAAACCCTGAAAGCAGCAGAGCCTCAAGACGTACAGTGCATCTTCACGAAGGATGGTTCTCTCTGTCCCTCTCTCTCTCTCTCTGTTGTGGTAGATACAAGACGGCCTGATTGTCCCAGCCCTTGAACCCTACTTCGTAGAGAAAAATGATGACCATCCTGATCCCCAACTCTGTCACTCCAGGGCCACTCTGATGAATTGCAGCGTCCTTCACAATCAAAGAAACGTGACTTGGCATCAATGCGAATGCATATTAGTATACTGCAATGTGTTCCCAGGAACCAATTCCCTCTCCACTATGTGCTTAAACCTCACAAAAACATCTGCTTAACAGCAAATCTTTGCCAAGCTTTTCTGTGCCCCATAAAATGTGTGGAATTTCGCCCAGCCAAGCCGCCTGTCCTGGGGCTGCGTGAGCAGCACCGAGCCGCAGCCCGCCAAAAAGCCGGCGGCCCCGTTCCTGACGGAACCCAAGAATGAACGGCTAGCGGCTAGGGATTTTTCCGACACGGAATCCCCGCAAATCCCTAAATGTTCAAAATCTGGAACATGAAGCCAAGAAAAACACTCCTGTTTTGAGGAGTTCGTCTCGAACCATAGGTTTCAGATGGTCAAAAACACAACTGTTGGAGGGGTCGTTTGATTTCAAGTCCAATCCAAGTAATTATGTCATGGCTAGGTGGTCGTCAAGGTTTTTGCGGCTAAGGGTGACTGCGGTCATAGGGGGAGATCCAACCGCGTCATGCGAACCATACGATGAAGAAACCTAGGCGTTCATCACCCACGATGTACCGCACCCTGCCGATGGCGAAGACTCCCAGATGTTTAACAAACCGATTGCCCAGCTCCTGAGTTCCGAAGGCAAGCCAGCCCATGAATGACACAAATGGACTGTGTGGGACTGTAGATGACCCGTGGTCTCCACAGCATTTCGTCCAGCACAAGGGTCGAGGATACATCAGTTGAAACGTCCTGCCTACCCGGTACTTACCCGCTAAAAAGATCGGTGGCAAGAGTTCACATGGTGCCCTTGCCGCTTGACTCGGCACGGACAACGACCCCATCGCCGGGTGCGTGCGACTCGCGTGCGACTCGTCGAGTCGGTCGAGGGTCATCAAGGGGTTCTGCTTCTGCGACTCGTCGCCAAAGGAGATGACGCCGAAGATGGCGACCTCGTCTCGTCGTTTGGGCGCTCGCGTCGAGCGATTGGATGTGGTCCCGATCTCTCAACGACGAAAGACGGATGGGGTCGCAACCACACGATGCAGAAAAAGCACCATGTCCTATAGCACTTGATTGGGGCACATCGGCAGATCTTTCAAACAAGTTTGGGGCAACCACTTCTTTGCAGAAAAAGATAGAAAAAGTGTACTGGTGGAGTTGGTCCTCCTCTTCAAAGGCTACATCAATGTATGTGTCTGGTCTGCTGGAACCGCTATGAACAGCTGGATCTTGGGGTCCAACTTTGTAAGCCTTGGACACAAAGTTATGAGTATTTCATTCCATCTCCGTCCGCCGGACCGGCCCCTCTGCCCCGCCTGCAATGGCATCCTGACGGCCTGGTTGGTGCCTTGCTTCAAAATCGTGGGGAACGCACCTGGCCACGCTGCGCCAGTCCGGGCGCTTCCGCGGCGTGCTGGATCGCCCGGACGGTCGGGTTGGCGAGTTGGAACTTTGGGGACGGTCTCGAAGTGACGGTGTTCAAATGGTCTTTTTACGCAACACACACCTCATGAAAGTTAGAACATGCATGAACATGCCTCATAATTTAAGAATATGTGCACAAACATGTGCGAACCATGATACAGATGTGCACGGATCCACACGTATCTGAAGCCTGACTTTTGAACGCGAACCGACACACTGCAATTAGCAACCGAAGACCATACTCTGTCCTGTTTGCAACCAGGACTCACAGCTCACGTCGTCCACTAGAGTCACTAGAACACAGCAAACTATGAAAGCTCATAGTCCACATGGTCCATAGTCCACTACAACCACAGTCTCGTCTAGCCATCCAGCACCAATCCAGAAAACTGGTCAGCCAAACACATCATGGTTGCCATCCCGGGATATATATATATATATTATATATTATGCATCACAAATACCCGCATATATAACTACCCAGAATTGTGTGTTGTTCATTTCATTGAAAAATCCTTCTTTTCCCCTTCACCTCCTTTTCACCTCCGAGGCATCTCCAGACCCGGCCTCGGTACAGACCCATGGGCCCTTCGGATTTCAGGATCTTCACCTCGGGTTCTGCCCGACCGATTCACGCGACCAGGTCACCGGGTCACGTTCCGGGTTCCGAACACCCAGTGGTTCCGCAGGATCCCCCAGATCGCACGTGGTGAGGTCCAAAAGCCGTGAAGTCGGGCGGGTGGACTTGATTGTGCCAGGATGAGGATGGATGGGTCCCTGAATCCATCGGGAAAAATGTCCAAAAGCCTCCTTGAAGGGCCAAGGATTGCCAAACCGGCAAACTCAAGACAAAAGCAGAAATGCCTATGTCGGGATCTATGGTGACTCTGTCTGCCTCGAATGTTTGAGTCAGCCTCTGAAATGTTGAGGGCCCGTGGCCACATGAATCTCGTCTATGTTTCCTATTGACCAGTACTATTGTTATATTACTATATGTATTCCTATTATATTAGTTTTGTCCTTTGGTCTTAGCAAGATGAAAGGAAAATCGAAGATACCGTTTCCTCAGATGAAAAGAGCCACATAATTCTTGCTTATGATTATTGCAAACTGGACTTCCGCTGCTTTTCAAAAACATGAAAATTTGGATGTCCATCTTGCTGAAAATGTCGGTCTTTGCACTTGCCCGGACCAATGAGGTCGACGGTCAGCGGCGGTCCGACGGCAAGAACTCCCATGCTTTTCCTCCCCGAACTGGACGGGCCCAGCACGGTAAATGCGATTTCGGGGCCTCATCAAGTATTCCAGACACCCGCCGGACATGTGAATTCAGTCCAAGAGCGACAACATCCAAAAACAGGTCTGATTGTACTCTTAAGTTAGGGATGGCAGTACTTCTCAACTCGCCAAAGGTAGATCAGCCACACCAGCATGTCTTCGGGATCATTCAAGAAACCGGGTTTACTACGTTGACCATTTAGTAATTGTATTGACCTATTTCAACCATCAGACTGGTCCAAATCTTAAGTTCACACCGCGGGCATCCGGGCGATGGCATCTGCAGAGCCCTCAGCTGGATGACGGGAGCAAGAGACGTGGAGATGCACTAGGGAACCAGTCCATACCAGTCCTGTCAATCACTCGTGGAGATGTACCGACTAACTGCTATGTGGGCCAATCAGAGGGGAAAAATAGGTAAAGTCGTAAAGTATGGTAAAGCAAAAAATGTTGGTAAGTCTCAACTCACCATAGTCTTGAACTAAGCGCCAACAAGGAAGGGGCATCCAAAGAAGGATCGGATCGCCCAAGAAACGTCTCCCACTGAAAGGCGCAAGGGCTGTGGATCTCAACTGCCCCAGAACCCAAGGGAACCCAAATTGCCCAGTTACAACTATAGCAGATCCACACAAGACAGCTACAGAGTTGTACCAAAGACTTAAACGGAATCACGAGCTGCCCAGCTATGAGTTCCTAGAAGTGCCAACTTAGTATCGATGTTCCCTTCCCAAACATCTCATCTCGTCTGCCCCCGCGACGGCCTTGTAGTTACCAGTTCCTCTTCGCTGGTCGTCGGTCACTCGTGTCTTCACGGTCCTTAGAGCCCAGCTCATCCAAGTCGTCTGGCTTGTTCGCTTTGAGCTCCATTTCTATAACTGGACCCAAAGAGGCTAAAGAATCCATAGCTTGCCTATCATTCTGCAGATCTGCACCTGTTCTTGCTTGTATGATTGGTATGCGGCAAGTGGGGAAAAACTCCCTCTAGCTGCTTCGTGCTCAGATGAGAACATGGATACCACGCAGCGCCTTGGCTCCCTCCTAACCGTCATATGTCATAAGTATACACTGATCCCGGCTGATCCCCAAACCGAAGAGTTCATCCCTCAAAACTCCAGGAGCTTCTAACTTCTTGTGGCTTCTCACTTCTCGCTCGTTCTTCCCATCAATTTCGGACGCCCCCCGATCCACCCTCTGTCTGTCTCGCCCCAGCGGCTCCACCGGTGTCACGGCACAGACCGCCTCGCAAATGCCAGCACCCAGGCCGCAAATCACGTTGTTCATTTGACTCAGCTTGCCTTGCCCACCGCGAGGTCCAGACCGGAACAGAACCGGTTATAAGTTATAACAGTACAGTATATAGAAGGGGTTGAAGGGAACTGTAGGGGGGGTTGATGAGATAGCTGTCAGGCATGTACACGTTGAGTGAGGGTTCATGTGGTTACCAGGCTCCCAGTGGATCAGGTTCCTAGTCACCAACAGCTCCAAAAGCACACAAACAAACTAGAGGTATAATATGGTAGAAATCAATGGTTCTTCTAGGATCCACCAGGTTCCAGTGTCTTCCCACCAATGATGCGCCATTGTGCAGCTATGTCCAGCATTTTTCTCATTCTGAATCCTCTTCTACTCCGCCCGCAGACTTACTGGGACAGTGGGGAAGTGGCCCTTGGATGATCATTTTCCTACCAACAGGGGTTGTCCATTTCCCTGAGGATTTCACGGAGTAAACCTCAGCAGAAACCCGTGTCTTTCTGGTCGTGGCACCGGTCTCTGGATCACGGAAGACCTGGGTGAGGTTGGTGTAGGCGCCCCACCTGCATGACGATCCGGTGGGCGGACACGGCGGACACTTCCGCGGCGGTGAGGTGCGACATAAAATACAACAAGTCTCGAGGAATGTTCATGTCAACATCAACCAGAAGGTCGCCATGAAGAAATGGGAAGCATGGGCATTGAGAGGAAAGGTAAATATGACTCGCAATAGTTGAAGTAACTAGAGATAAGTGTATATGATCAGTTCACAAGCTGACAAACTCCTGCACGAATATTCTAGGATCGCTCAAGGGCATCGTGCATCCTGTTGCAGGAGAACTCTTCCATCATCCCTGAAGCAAACAAGTGTTTTGGCGCACCAATGTCCTTCGCGGAAAACTCGACCCAACTCACAAACTCCTGCGCTCACCCCGGCCGTCACCATGAGTTGTCTGAGGTCACCCCGGAACGCCGCATTCCGCACCTGCACATCTGCTGGAAGCCAGCCCCAATAATCCGAACGCCTGCGCCTCGGTAGAGGCCTGACAACAGGAGACGGCGGTGCGCAGGGCGGTGACTGGAGATCGTCGGTGTCTCAGTGGCCAAGTGATTGATGGAGCGAGAATGAGAATACTTTTTCCTGCAGGGCTAGTGTCTGTCAGATGCACCGGCATGAGGAGAATACCTCCAAAAGGGAGAGTTCTTCTTCTTGAGGCTTTACTTGGTTGGAAACTTAGAAGGCATGACAGACGAGCCAGCATCGAAAGTGCGTTGTCCGTGGGGTTAAGTGGACCTGGAAACGGGGAAACTCACAAGATACTAAGTGCTTGAACTGATGCTACAAGCTGCTTGAGTGATTCGATTCAGCTTTCTGGCCTTTTGGATGATCTGGTCTAAACACTGTGAACAGCAGAAGTGCTACAATGCAATGAGACATCCACGATGGGAATTTCCTCTTCTGAAGCAAGTCCACAATCAGATCGAAGCATCAAGGGCGGGTGGCGCCTTTCACACCATGTTGTTCCATCGTCTTCTTTGCACAGTCGATAATACCCGCATACTCAGGGTTTGCCTTCCTGAGCGCAGAGCGGAGTCCATTCCAGCTTGTCTGAGAGGGACTTGAGCCCTTGGGGTTTCAAACTACTCTGGTCATCTCCGGTCTAATGTTGCCCTGACACTGTCCATGGATGAAGAATGATGAAGGGAACGCTGATCTGATCATCGCTTCATCATCAGTTTCTGATTCGTTCTGCAAGATGTCCCCATCCTTCAGACGTATATAGATTTGACATTGCTGGATGTCTCGTCCCCGGTCACCTTGGCACAGGGTCTTGTATATTGTCCACTATCTTCACATCATGAAGACTATATATACAGGATCCGTATCCCACATATCCGTTGACTTATCTGGATACCGCATCCACACCTCGCACAAAAGAAAGTGCCCCAAAAGAACTGGGGAACCGCAACGTCTCAGTGATGTTTTGAAGGCTTAAACAGGGGAACACCATGCCAAAAGGTTGTTTCGGTTTGGTTGTCCACAGACATCTTTGCATCGCTCAGGTGGCGCTTCATACCTTTGTTTTAGACAAAACTCTTTTGAGATGGGGAAGACCGGACTTCTACAGTCGTAGGAACCCGAATTTCTCCTCTCATCCTCTCAGTCGCTTCTTCCCAAGCATCGATTGCAGTTGCAGTTGCGTCTTCACGTACTCGGTGGGATAGGTGATTGCAGCTTGGGTGCCACCCGTGAGGAAGCCCTGCAAGCAGTCGCTTTCTGCTGCCACGTGCAGGACTTCGGTGTTTACGAAGCGGGAGGGGATCGAATCCGGCTTCGTTGACTTCGGAGGAACTGGGAATCCATTTGAAGCCTCCACTCCTCCTTTTGATTTGAGACAGTTCATCTGTTAAACTCAAACAGGCCCAACGTCTGCGGTGTTTACCAATCTAAAGCACCACCGGACATTTTTTACCTTCAGACCGATGTGGGTGTATTTTAATAGGGAGACACCCGACCAATGAGTTTGTGTCTTTCCAAACCTTCTAGGGGATGTTTGAGAGGTCTCCCAATTTCAATAGCCATCACGGGTTAAATCCTGTCACAAGCCGCCGAAATCCGAGAAGTCTTCTGACCAAATTGGCCTTCACCACCGTCTTCACTCCAGAGTCCTTCTTGGTGACGAAAGCCATGACCTCACGGAGCCATGAAACCCTCTGAGACTGGAAGCCTGGCCACCATCGATCTTGGATGGCCAATCAGGAGGTAGGGCCGTAACAGGCCGATCTTCGAAGTTTGGAGCCCAACAGAAACCCCCCTTTTGAAGAAGAATCACACCACCAGTCGGCCACCAATGCGTCTTCAGTCTTTCGTCATCAGTTTGAACAGAAGGACCATTCCACAGTGCCACAGCCCCTTTCTTCAGGGTCTGGAAGGCCAAACTACGGGGGTGTCATGTACCTGGTCGATCCTTATGACATCAGTGATGGCCATCAGCATACACATAATAAGATAAGGATGTCTCACAAATGTGACCCTTTTCCCGTGGTTAGGAGGTGCAAGCCCCCCCGGTTGGCCCAACATGACTGTGACCCCTCACAACTCTTTGCACAGCAACACCTCAGCCATGCGTGAACCATTCAAACGTATGTAGAAGGTTCTCACACCTACACAACTGGAGGCCGCGTCCTTTCCACACCCGCCATGAGTTTGAGTGCCATATAGGCAGTATTGCAAATGGATGAAGATTGTGACACCTTTAAGTTGGTCTCAGAACAGCAGGCGCCATGGAGTCATGGGGATACACGAAAACATGGGGGAGGGACGACCAGAGACGAGTTCGTCAGGGCTGTTGGGTTGGTAAAAAGTGGTTGGATGCATCGCTGTTGGAACACCGGTAGCCTCTATGATTCCGCTTGGTGCGTGGCGACACATCCTGCCTTGGTGTCAATCGCGGAATCGTCGTACCCAGCGGTCAAGTCGAGCCCAGAACTCGCAGGAGATTCAGCAATAAAGCACGTTCGTCCATGAGAGATGCAGCCTTCAAGCGAACCAAGTTGACCGGAGGGAACAAAACACATAAACTTCATGCAGCAATCATCTTGACCGTCATGGAAAATCTCAGCTGACGAGACGTAGCGACCGGTCCATCTCCCAGGTGTGAAGAATTTGAAACATGAAGCTGCTGGGGGCCACCGGCACTCATCTCTCGGGCCATGTCAACGTCCAAAGAAATCGAGTATGCTAAATGGTAAGGGGCTTTCAGTGGCTTAAAGTCAACCAGTAGTTTTTGATAGGTTTAAGGGGCTTATTGCTTCAAGACGAAGGCGCTTCCTTCTTTTCATCCTTTTTCATCCTGGCTCTGGGTCTGCCTCCGCCTTGCGGGGGCCTTCAGGGGCTGCTTGGAACGGAGACCGGACAGTCTGAGCCAGGGGTCTAGCTATGGCTCGAAATCTGCTAAGAATTTGGTCCAGGATGAGACCAGAAAACAATGTGAAATGCACGTTTACTTCTTTGGGGTCACTATCGGGGAACCTGAACAAAGCCTCCAGTCAGCGGTGTCAGTGCTCTGAGCCAAAGCCATCTAACCACCTGTGCTTTTGCGCACGCGGCTCACTGCCAAGTGCCGGACTCCGTCCACTACCCCTCAACAAAGCGTGGTGGCGGGGAAAACTCGTGCATGAGTCCTTTCGCAGAGATGTGCTCCAGCAAAGTCATCCTATCTATTATATATATATATTTGTATATGTACATTGTATGTATATAGGCATCCTCCAGCTCACAATGGCCTACAAGGCTTTGGCCACAACTAGCCGCAAAGAAGCTATCGCGTTCTCCGGGAGCCCAACTCGTTCAGAAACCTTTGAACGCCCAAGGCGCTGTTGGCTCTACATGCGTGGTTCTCTCTGCTTCGCAGAGTCCCCAAATCAGTCTCAGCTCAGTCGCACAATTGTGCGCACTTGCAAGGCGCTCTGAAAACAAGGCGTTGTCGTTGGGACGCGTGCTGCCGCGACTGCTCCTCTTAATATCCATAGCCGTAAGCGGAGCCACCAGTACAGCTGGAAGGGCAAACGTCCCTTGGTGAATGCAACTCGTCACAGTAGGTTGATGGGAGCCCCAAAAACGTTGACCCAACAGTGTTTGGATTGAATGGAAACCTCTATGACAGGGACGCTTGGGTCATCCCACAAATCACCTGGGCTGATCCGTTGGTCCAAGGGTGAGGCCGGGTGAGGATGAGGAGTTCCCAAACAGCAGTGCAACAAGTGAGGAACCTGCGAAATGATGCGAAAGGTGCACCTCAAGTGGCGACGTCGAACATTCCGAACCACGGGAGCATCCATTTCAGCGTCCCCAACGCCGAACCATGCCGAGCCCGGTTCTCGCACGTGGCCGTCGCATGGTTCCTTGGACGGTCTCTCTCTCTCTCTCTCTCTCTCTCTCGGTGCGTCCCAGCTGCGATTGGTCTTCGGCGGTACCATTGGCACAGCCACAGGACTCGGGACACAAATACGCCAAAGGCCCCCAGAGATCCTGGCGACGTCGGCGCATTCGGGGGAGCGTGCGACGGAATCCGTGCGCCCTGACCTGACGGTGGCTCTCAGGAGGGACGACCTGAGGCGGGCGTGTATCTTATGCTCCAATACATACCTGGCGGCAGTCTTCTCGGTACTCATGTTACACTGCCGTGGAGCATCTATTAATCTTAGCATAAATACGTTGTCTTATACTATATAACATGGAAGAGGATAAGAACCTGTTTGCAGCCTAAAAAAGTCTTCCATGGTCTTCCCGCAGCCCACTTGCCATTTCCATGCGAGTGCATCGGTTTGTGTGTTGTATCATTGGTTGTATATTGTTGCAAGCAAACCTGCCAGTAAAGGCCTTGATCTGTTGGGATCTGATCCAGTAGCATAGTCACAAGTCAGGAACTCTTCCAAAAGTGGAAGAGATGAAGAGGACAAATTGGGGGTCTCGTGATTCCACCACATCAACTGGTTTTATTCCGCCCCTGCGGGGAGGACGACGCACGAAGCACTGGTCTCCAACATCCGCTCCTTAGCACCAGGGCACCAAGTGTTGCCTGTGACCTCGCCAAGTGTGGGAAGGTATGTCCGGCGGCCCCCGTTGGGGGTGGCAAATGAAGCTCTGCATAGCTCCATTTCATGGTGCAGGACGTAAGCCTTCCGTAAGCCTACTGCTACATACTTTGGAGGATACACAACTACTTACTTATGGCTTGTGGATAATTGGAAGATAAAGGATCACTCAAAAGTCACCAAACCCCATCTCTATCCCTGAATGCCTCCATCTGGATCTGGGCACCCGTTCCAGAGCCGCCTATTAGAGCCCAAATCTGGAGACCCTCATGTTGATGATCAACGGCTTGCCACTCATGCTGTGGTTCTTGAAGGAATGGCCCCAAACCCAATAATCTGCCAGGTTACGTTTTGTACACCTTCACCTACCTCAACATGTGAATCATTTGGATGATGGGAGAGATTTGGCATCAGGGTGCCCAGTACCCTTGGCACTTTGGCCGTCTGAAGCGTTTGGACCCCCAAAAAGATCTCCCAAATCCGAGAGAAGCGTAAAATGACTGCACGAGTTGACTCCAACAGTGAAGAGTCGAACGGAGTAGACGGCCATGCGACGGGATCTTCCGGCAACGTCCTCAAATAGGAGCATCCTTGAGCCTGGAAGAGGGGAGAGGGCAGGGAGAGCGGAGCTCAAACATGATGAGGGAGGTGGTTGGAACTCCAGATGAGCAACCTTGAAAATGAATGTATACTAAAAGTTGGTCTTGTTTACTTAGGCTTCGTTTTTGGGTTTCCGACTTCGTTTCCAAGGATTGGCACCAAGTCAGGGTAAAATGCCCTGTGCGTTCACACACTGAATTAGATTACCACCCTGCTTTTGTCAATATGAAGCACAGTACCACATCATCATTCAAGAGTGTGCACTTGGTCCGGTGTCTACTAAAGCCACTTTTTCATGCGGCTTCGTTTCGGGCTTCGACTAGGCTTCGAACCCCCAAAGCTCTGAAAAACATGACCATCGAATCTCGGAGTGCCAGGAGGTCCCAGCTTCGTTGTTCCGTTTTCGGCTTCGGAACGCTAGGCTTTTCAAAGTCTCTCAGATGTCAACCTAGGCACTTGTTTGGGACACCCCATAGATGAGAACGGCTCTCCTAATTTCAATTTAAGATGTTGTTGTCGAGACGTTTTTTGATCGCATAATCTTCGAGACTTTTTCTACCCCCACTCCCCATGCCACCCACACACATGAACTTCACACTCCCCATGCCATGACCCAACAAATCCATTTTCTACCCAATCCATAAACCAACAAGATCGACTGGGTCGATGTCATCCGCCTTCATCTGCACGACTGTGTCAGCGGCATACTTGCTGAAGTCCATCCGGTCCGTGCCGTAGAAGTTCTGCCGGCTACGTGGCCATGAGCTGGTGGCCATGAACCAGCGGGGGCATCCATGAAAAATATCCAGGCCATGGTGCACAGTAAACCTTCGGAAACATACAGCCACATACAGCCTGTATGGCATCTGTGCAAGTTCGCGGCTTCGTGCGGATTTAGGGGAAGGCCCCAACGACGCCACGGATACGTTCAATTCGGAAGAAATGCAACAGGGATGGTCAATGATCCTTCAAATCCCGTCCACTATACGAGTCACAACGCGTCACCAAAAGACTGCCCATCCATCCATCCCAAACAGCCCAAGCTGGACACTGGACCAAGATGCCCCAATCGCCACAAAGTAGTTGTCCCAGAAGTGATTCCAGCTGGCAGTGGCCTCCGCTGTGGCCAAGTCCCGACAGGGCAATTGGCGATTGGCCATCATCCTGCGACGGCTGCAGCTGCGAACCGTCAGTCCGAACCGTCGGCGTTCCGAAAGGAACGGAGTCGCCGTGGAGAAAGAGTCTTCGTTGATGGAAGCGAAATGACCAGAGTTTCTGTTGAGACTATGTCATGAAGAAACTATCCATGAAAGGGTGAGTCCAAGCAAAAAGCTTACTATATATATATATACTGCAAATTATACATATAAGGCATAAGGCATGTGATAAAGGAATACCTAGCTAACCGCCGCCGATGGGAAGAAAAATCCAACCAAACCTCAGATAGGAAAGCGCCACAAAAGCTCAGGAAAAGTCCAACCTAGACCTGGACCTTACTGATAGTGATCTGAAAGCTGATTGATCTTCTGTCTACAGATGATGAGATCACATGCTGAGACATCTTTGTTTCGAGCCTCCTTTGTGGTGGAGGATTATATAATTACTTCAACAAAAGGTGCTTGGGGCCTGAATATCCAGAGATTTGAAGTGTTTTGGGTTCCAACCTCCAGCTATGGAACTGTTGGAAGCCCAAACCCTGATGAAAGCTTAGCTCAGATTCGGAGCTCATGGAGTCAGTCAGAAGGAGTCTCCGTCGCTCACTCGGAAGACGCTCACTCGTGCCTGGACCACAAGCAAAAGTCTCCACAGCCCTCTGAGCGTTGCTTATACCACGGCGAAGAGTAGGGGTTCACGCAACCTCAACAGACTCATATCGAGTCTCGGTTAAAGACCGACTCGATTGGATAAAAGAAGCAAAAAATAACTCCAACAAATGGTGTCAGTCTCCATCTTGGAAAACGGTCTCGCAAGGGAGTTTATTGGGGTCTCCCTCCAAAGGTTTGGGAATATAACAAAAAACAACAAAAATACAAAACAATAAAAACAACAGTTTTTCTGACACGTTCACCGGTTTTGTAAGACCAACATGCACTAAAGCCAATGCAACTCTCGGAAGAAATAATGGAAAAAACAAAACACGTCGCTTCACTCGGCCGCACCGTGACGGCCCGACCATCCAAGTAGCCACAGGTCTGTCCGCACATCAGGCGCAGCAAGCGCGCCTGGTAGCTTTCGAAGAAACACGTGAGGCATAGGCCACAATCGGCCACAAGTGCTCATTCTTTGAGGGTTGATGCGGGATAGAGATGAGAAGGTAAGCCGCATCGTGAGAAACGAGCTACAAACTGTACTGAACAAAAGGGGTTTAAAGATATTTGGACCATTCCCAGATGTTCATTCCAGATCAAGTATGGTCAAGCTTAGCTCTCCAAGAAAGGCATTGGATTGGACTGGTCGGTCACCACATAAACTCTGACTGTCAGAGTCGCTGGTTCCACTTTGTAGAGGAAATCCCTTCCCAAGGGCCGTGCCATCCTGTTCGTCAAAGTGGAGGGTTGCAGCGTCGTGTACATATATACTGTAATATGTCCAGCTTCTCAAGTAACCTCTGATGGGAAATGGACAATGTCTCACTGTGAACAAAGATCTTTAAAATGCAAAAAAACATCCCTCCAGCTGCTAGCTCGATACCCCTATGCAGCAACATGAGTGCGCGCTTCTAAAGTACAAGACCCAAGGCAGCTTACCTGGCAGTAGGAATGTAGGTGAATAACACGCAAGGTCGATTGGCCATCACGATGTTGGCGGGTTCCCATCTCTCTTTCGATTTCTGCAGCAAAACAAAGCGTCAGTGATGGTGGAAGACTAGACCAAACAAGACTCCTTCAATACAGGTGTTCTCACGAAAACCCAGTGGGCTCTGGGCCTCTGGACATTTTATGACGACAGGTTGAGCCAGTGGCTCCATAAGCCATGGTCAACATTGGCTGTTGCCTGACGTTGCGCAAACCTTGTGTTTGCGTCTGGGAATGGTGTTGGAATCTTTGTGAGTAGTTCAATTGTCTATTGAGCTAGTGTGAGTCAATGTGCGCAGTCTCTGATGAGCCATCGACAGTCTGCTGTGCAAGATCAGATATTTCCCGGTCACCATCTTGGTCACCCACTGGCAATTCAGCTACTGCGACTACTGGTCCTGGTTGCCAACAACCACCGTCCGTGCCAAAAAAAACGACGAAACGAGTGGGAAGCACCTCCGGATCATGGCAGAACTGCGCAAAGTCCTCACATGTAGACCCTTCTGGGAGGTCGAACCTGGCAGATCTTGGCCGCCGACGACGTGTCTGGCGGTTGGGACTCTGCGGAATGCCAAACCGGAACAACTTTTGATGGGTGGCTTGGAAGCGTGGCATGGCATCCTCTTGTCAACATCCTGTAGTTCTTTGCTGTCCACCATGCTGTAGTTTTGCTGTTTCGACAAAGGGTGTCACCGCCCACATGAATATCACATCCTATGAACCTCTGCCCCCCGAAAAAAGAACCATAACGTGCCGTGCGCGATTCCGTGAACCTTTGTACCCTGAAAGCGACAAGGGACTGGAATGCAAGGGTCTTCATGCGAGAGTAGCTGATTTCCGTTAGCCTCGGCACGCCATAGGCCTCAGACAAGAGATGCCAGGAAAGGCTTTTCTGAAGAACTTCGTGAACCTGACAGGTCCTAATGGCGGAAATGGCTGAAGCTTATGGACAAAATGATATACAGTAGTTTAATGTGGCTGTAGCTTGGTATAGTATATCTTGCGATACTTTATACACCAATTATCAAGCATGAAGGTCAAACCCACATACCTACTCACTCCTACTCAATGCCAAAGTCGTCGCTGTACATGGTAGTCACTGCTTAAAGGACTCGAGCATTGTGCCAATCAGCGGAAGACTTGAACAGCACATGACAGCACACGACGCACTCTGGGGTTGCCCACATCGGAATGGCCACATCCGACCGAACAAGGCAGCGCCGCCGTCGTACGGCCGCCTTTACTTACTAGCGGGGAAAAGCCTCAGGCCGCCATTACGGCAAGTGCTTTCCCTTGTTCACCCCAAAAATGGAAGAAAAGTGTGCTTTCAGCGCGAAAACTAATGCAAGAGTGAAGCAAACGAAGGTCTTACCAGTCTGTTGAGTCTTGATGCCGACCGCCCGCGCCAAGATCGGACCACAAGAGAGGTGGCTCTTGTGGTGCCATGTGCGCTGCTCACCCGGCATGTCCGGGCAGCAGCGGCATGAGCCAGATGTTTGACGATCGTGCTAATCAAGCATGCTGTCAAATGTGGATCCTCCATTGGGGGACGACGTGGAGAAAAGCCCCTTCAAAAATCACCCGCTCCGAACCTCGTTCCGGTCTTCACGGCGCAATTGTTCCGGTCTTTCGTTCCGAACCGGGAGGAGACTCTATATACCCGACCCTCGGCGGAGGTCGCCCGTCCGTCCATCGGTCGAGGCCGACCGATGCCGGACGATGCAACGGCGCAACGAGGCGAAGCGATTGGTGTTCCAAGTCGCAGATCCATTCACGGTCATGACGTCCGGCTCAAAGCAAACGGGATAATAAGCAGCTTCCTCCTGAGGGGTTTCCATGTCTGAGGCCCTACGCCGGCCCTACTACATGGTACTGCGGCCGAGTTGGACCTCCCTACAACCCAACAGGTTCGGTTTTTGCATGATGCTGGTGAGTAGGCATCAAACATGATCAAACGAGAACAGGCGGAGTGGTAAATCATGGTAAATCTGAATTCCACTGCTACAGTCGTTGTGCATTCCGGGAGAAAAATACCTTGGAGGTCGACACAAAGGGATCACCTCATGATCTTGAGGCAACACCAGATCTCGCAAAGAAGAAACCCTTGGGTTTGGCAGAAGAAGACTTATTAAGTCCTAAGTCCTAGCTAGTCGAAACTTTTCAATGCATGCTTGAGTGATACTGCTTGGATTCTCTCGACGGAGTCCGCGGTACTGCTTTGCCTACCTTGATCATGCATGACCATGATTTGTCGCGCATCAGGTGTTTCGCTTCACAACATGAATACATGTGGATCACAATCGGTCACAAGTCCACCGAGTACAAATGTCCCATCCTCTCCCATCCTCTCCACCCCCAAAAAAGGGAAGCGCCATGCAGGTAAGCCATGAGAAGATGCATAAAGTATTATGTACTAAGACTGAAATTTGTTGTACATATTCATGCCTTGGGTCTTAGGGTATGTCACTATCAGTAAAAGTGGATGATTATTCATTGATGGTTAGTAAATCTCTTTCCCAAAGATTGTGATGCCCTTTTGCCAACTAAGTACCAGCAATGAGACACACCCATGTCGCATGCATATCCTAAAGATCACATCCGAGTTACTTTCATCTTTCGAAGGCGGCCTCTTTCAAACTCCTGCGGTCAGCGTGGTGGTTCGGGCGGTCTCGCCATCCTAGACTTTTGCCAACAACTTGTACGATGAAAAGAAAAAATTGTGAAAAGTGAGTGATGAAAGGATGAGTCTCCTAATAGCCCTCACTTGTGGGAGTGTTCCTCTGTCTGAAGGGCAACCCTCATCCCTACGTGCCTACGTGTACAAAACAGAGTGGTCAGGGTGGATGTCTCGTTCGAGAAACGCTCAAAGTACCGAGCGAGCGCAACGCCGAGCCACTTCGCGCGGCTTTAGCAGAGCAGTGGAAAGGCAGGTCCTTGGGGGTGGAGACCTTGTTGAAGTACTCGGGGGTGTCCTGGGTGGAGCAATCCGTTGCCAGTCTCATGGTTTTGGGCAGATCAAAACCACTGACAAAATAATTAGAGAACAGGGCAGGATGAACATGGTCTTTGATCACAGAAAGTCCAAGACAAACAAAGATGTTTTTCAGAACGAGGCAAGGCAGCCAAGCTCGAATGCCTGACACATCAATATCATCCATCCTCTCTTCGGTGTTAGTGTAGTGAGGCCAAATTTCTGTGCAAAGTGCGTTCCCTAGGTGTGGTTTCAGTCGATGTAGCATTCGCAAAATTCGGGTTAATTGGGCACCCACGCTTCACGACCCAAGGAGGTATCATTCCACACACCGGGACCCGGGGGCAGCCAGGCGTCGAAGCTTCGGAAGCGGAAGGTCCGCACGGCTTGCTCGGACAAAGTGGGCAGTGCGCGGGAGCGCGCATGGTAGGTCTCGTAGCCCAGGACCATCTGCACATCCGCATTGAAGGACACCACAAAGTTCTGAGTGCCACTGCCTCAACAGATCGGGCGGCTGAACATGGCTGCAGCGAACCCAAAAACAGATCAAATCGCGGTTGACGACAAATGAAATTTGACCTGCCCAAAATGAAAGTCTAACTGGATCCAGTCATTATAATGTTTGATTCAAGCACTTTTCTTGCAAGGATGCCTTGGAAACACGAAGACAAACCTCGTCCGTGAATCACAAGCAGATGAAGCAGATGATTAAGCCGTGCAGATCTACCCTCCCCAGCCTTGCAAACCGGACCTCCTACATGACTGTTTGTGGAAGCACTCAACGAGGGTGCCACATTTCAACAACAAACCGATAAATGCTCAAACAACTCACTTCATCTGCAAAACATATCCCCAAACACAAAGATTCTCCGGTCCACACCGGATGTGGACCGGAAGTGCCTAGGAAGTGCATTTGAGTCAGCACGAAGGGAAAACAGCAAAACGAAAAACTCAGCCGGTGAGTGATCCGACGGAAGAATGAAACCTCATCCGATCGCATGGAAAACGATGAACATCTTCCTCCCTGCCCAGTCATTGTTGGATGAAATCATTCTGAGGAATCGAGCCAGCTCACTCCTTTCCTGTTCTCAAGCTCAGCGGCACATTTCTTTCTTCACCTTGGGAGTTGGCATTTGGTGTGGATGATTCTCAATCTCGGTCTCTCAGCAGACCTTTCATTCTCGGCAAGCCGAACAGCGTTAGTGACCACTGGAAATTTTCTGGAGGAGACAAAGCGAACTAGCCTAAGCAGAATCCAAGATGATGGTGTTGGAGGAGAAACTATGGTTTATTATAGCCTATAGCGCCTTGATCACTGGCCTGGGGATTTCCGTGAAGACCAAACCAAAGAATAAAGAGATGCTCAGCAAAGACAGCTTCGCCGCGAGCATGTCCTGGCTAATGGGTTCCAGCAGTATGAGCCAGGGAAGCAAAATCGCGGCCAACAGCATGATGCAGTGGACGACGGACTCTGCGTCACTGCGTTTCTGGTGATACCGGACCTGGCAACCAAGCAAAGGCTCATACAATTCAACCAACTCTCCCTTACCCAGCGCTTGAAAAGCGCCGGTGGGGTGGTTTTCATTGGATACCGTCTCGACCGCCTGGTCTCTTCGGTCTGCCAAGTTCGTGCCCTGCTTCACTCAAGCCTGCTACTACCTGGGTGAAGTCACCTGAGCTTACATCAAGTCACCCGGCCGCATGGAAACGCTGCATTAGAGAGAGAAGTCATGTGGCTTGCAAAAAGGCACCCGTTTGATGGTACGACGTTGTGGAAACGCTTTAGATAAGTAATGCTTTCGGAAACTGTGATACATCATGGATTTAAGCCATGTGCACAAAAAAGAAAACAAGGTGTATGTGGAAGTTTGTAGCCTTGGGGGGGTCGGAATTCCAATGAGAATGGACGTTTCGTGTCATGAGTCATGCCATGCGAGTCTTTTCGAGCCACCTACCCACCTTCCCAGTTCGCCTGTTGAATACGAATGCAATCAGGAAAACTTAAACAACCCCACAACACCCAAAGCATCTTGATTCTCCAAATCAATTTCTTGACTTATTGCTCTTGATGCAATCAAGCAAATGGTATCTTCTCACGTGCCAGCTTGCGTTTGTCATGCGGTGTTGAATTGATACTCCTAAGCTGAGCTGATCAGCTTTTTCCAACATCCTCTCCAGCGTCATCTCATCGCTCTTTCATCATCTCTCGGCCTTCATGGGTTCCAACTTCTGGACGGCGAGCTGAATCTTCGTCGGCACCAGCGCCACAAAAATGAACTCATCCACTTCCTTCGCTCGATCGGCACCGTTCGGCTGCGTGTTGTTCGGTGGTAAGGGCAGAAGGCTCGAAGCCTCGTCTGGTCGTCTGCAATCTTCAGACCTTCACCGACATCACGGGGGGTGGCCGCCACGTGGCCGAGAGTTTCATTGAAACAGATCGGAGGATGAGGAGTCTTCATTGACTTCTCATGAAACCTCACATGTCTGCACCCATTCATCAATTTGTGGGACTAGACAGGATGAAAGACTTGGGCACCCCCAAGTAAGCGGAAATGCTGAAAGGCCCTAAGATTGTTGGCTCCATTTAGGACGTTCCTGCACCCCAAAACACCGCGACGTTGCACTCGAAAAACTGCGCGGCTTCCCCGCCAGAGGCTCCAGGATACCACCCAGTGCCACAGCGTTCAAGATGAGATCTACGATGGATGTGGTGGAGGCCAACCACCTTGGTCGTTTTCGACCATCTCCGACGGTTGGCCTAGGGTGATAACACATCGGGGTCCTGAATTCAGCAAAGAAGCGAATCAGTGGAGATGACTCGATACAAACAAATCTCCAAATGAGTGCCCCAGGTCTTGAAGAACTGGGCCCAATGCTTTTGACAGTTGTACCCCATACAGCTCAGGTCTGACCTCAAGCTATATTTACTTATGGCTATGACATCTGCTAAAATACCAACAGTTCAAACTGGCATTTACATCTCACCCTCGTAATCCATGTTATTGTATCCTACGGTTCTTAGTTGTACTCCAGGTATATACCACCTATATAAACCTCTTCATGAATGGCTTCGCGGTTGAACTCTGGGGTGAACAGAAATGTGAAAAGAATCATGTCTGGAATCGCAGGACCCAGAAGGCGTTGTCAGATCAATATCATATAAGACTTGTGGCTTGATCTCGGACACCAAAAAGAACCTGATGACTACAGTGCCATCCCAGTCGCTGGACGCCCGAGATCAACAATGTGATGGCGAGAACTGCGCGCACCTCGGGCTCAGTGGCGCCGCGTCAACGGAGCCAAAGCATCCAGACCGCGACTGGTCCGAGGACAGGCCCCAATTCTGAGCAACGAGAACAAGTTGTTGGGTTTCGGAGGGAGAACACATGTGAAACACCTGGCATTTGTATACGCTTTGCACCGTCCCGCCACGGTGGGGGGGGCCCTATGGCCCGTTTCGATTCTTGGGAGGGCGCTGAAGCTTCAGAAGTGAACATAGAGACACGTGACTGTAAGTGATAAATTCAAATCACTTTCCTATCTCTAGGGAAGCAATAGATAGACTAGTGCATCCTCTTCCAAGAGATAGGAAGAATGATGATTTATTAGGTTTCCAAAAACGAGCCTCTCAGACTCTCAGATTTGCGTATCAAAACTCTTCTTTTGACGAACCGGACCTATCTGTGACATGCGCCGCCATCCGACTCTTTTGGCCCAGCGACGACATGCGCCACCATCAGAACGCCAATCCGTCCGCGCGAGATCGTTTTGAAGCTGTTGCCCTGGAAGCGGAAGATGGTCATCGACCGGTGGTGGAAGATGGTGGAAGTGAGTTGCGGTCAATTTGTCACGCGGTGTGCCGGTCGGCCTATATATATATATAGATACAATGATATTAGATGTGACTGGATATAAAAAGATTGAGTCCTTGAGTCTTGAACGACCATCTTGAATCTTGAACATTGTTGAACTGCACATATACTACACCTCTAGTTTCACCACCATGAAAACAGGAAGTTCACCCAGCGGCTTCTGGTAGGTTCGCCTCCTCAGCAGGCCTGCCATTGAGGTTTATCAGAGATATTCACAGTGATTGTCATAGCTGCTATAGCTAGCCTGATCAACTCCGTCATCTCCATCCCATGTTCATTCTCAGACTCACCACAGGTTCTGAGTACCTGCTCTACCTGTTCATGGGCCGCCGGCGCCCTCACCGATCGACTGGGACCGAATCGACTGGACCGGACCGATGCCGGCCTTCATGACCGTGACGCCGTTGCGAGGGACACGGAGCAAGGCTTGGGCACTGTTGAAGACGGTCCGCAGCTCTTTGAAAACGCAGAGGTTGTAGAGAATGATACAAAGCATACCTGATTCTTCATGGGAGGCGGTGTCTGTTGTGTTCGAAAAGGAAGGTTCTTGCCGGAAGATGAACTTGGAACTCTGGAAAATGCTGGTGGAACCGGTGGAACCCTTACAGGATCTATACATTCAGGTGCGAAGACCAGTGGTTGTTCGGTGAAAAGCACAGCTCGCTCCCGACTGCTCTCGTGTCAGTGGCTGGGGGGGCGACGGAGCGGCATGGTACGAGTACTCGCCGAGTGACAGAGCTGAACACCAGGCCGCCAGAAGGGCATCTCGAAGTCGTCCTTCTGCAAGCCTTCCAAGAACATGGCTTGTGTCTTGGACAAACATGGCTGATACCCCACCAGTCCTGATCGACAAAAGCAGAATTGTCACATGGAGGGTTGGTCCGTCCCTCCGACCTGGCCATTCTAGCCGAAAGAAACTTGCATGGGTCCTTTCGAGCGCCGTTCCCATGGGCGAACCCCACCGGCTCCAACCTTGGGGTTTCGGAATCAAGAGATCCGTTTGAGCGTCATCGGTTTGACCGACTTCTGGAGGGTCGTCCCACCAGGAGTGGTTGCACTCCTTGTGTGAGAGCCAGGCCCCGATGTCTTTCTCCCCGCCTAAAAACTTGTTGATGTCCTGAATCAACTTCGCCTGAGTTGAAGACACCTGGGCGAGATGACGAGGCTGCTATGTGCGGTGTCAAACTTTCCCAACAGCACCCATCGCAAAGAATTTGAACTGCCAGTTGCATCCATTTGGGCCAACCGTTGTTTTGCAGCTCTTTAGGGTTCCTGGTTCTGCACCCTTCTCTCAAGTGATTGCGCAGTTCAACGTCAAAGCCACTTCAACGCATCAGTTGCGGAGTGTAAGCCAAAAAATGTGCGCTTCATTTTAACGGTTGCTGGGTGGTTTCACTTGGCAATGCAATTAGCATTTGGTGAACATTCTTCAGATGGCATCTTTGGCTCACACCGGTTTTGCCTTGGCTGGCGATGAAAAAACAGCCAGAAGAAAAACAGAAAACCCCTCCCATCTATGTGGCAGCCGCAGTGGGTCGTGCGTTGGGCACCTTCAAGCTTCCCCACTGAAAGCCCAGTCGCGCAGAAACCATTTACACTTCACTAGCCCTACAGTGTGTAGTATATTGTATTCTGCCCTCCCAAATATTGCAAACTAAAACCCAAAACCTGGAGGATGCACACCTCTGCTTTTCAGACTTCTCATTTCCCCCCCCTGACCTTTTCGACGGCGGTCCCTCCCAAACCGACCGCGGCACCAGTAGAGAATCGTCCTCTGCACAGACCCGGGAAACCAAACCTTGGGCGGTCGGAGATGGTCTTCGTGTCAACGAATGCAACGGTTAAAACGGATCTTCCAACGGTGGGCATATGTGTTTGTGTGCCTTCTTGATCTGTTAAAACCAGCCAAGTCTGGCATGCAGGCATTTTGATATGGTTGGAAGATCCAGGTATGAAACAGATTTGCTGTAGACTTTATGTTGCTTTGCTTTTGCCGTTTGGACTGGAGGGTCGATCTGGATTTTGAGACGCGTGTTTGGACAGGGCAATGAAACTCGATAAGTACCCGGGATATGTGTTCATGAGTTTATATATTATATGGTTCACAGTGATGATCGATTTTGGAGAACAAAGTGCAACGGGATAGCAAAGATAAAGTAGAGGTAAAGCAAATGAGTCAAAAAGGGATCATTGGCAAGTTTGTGCATCAAACCCACACTCGGAGGAGGTGTTTAGTGCTTCCAGACGTATGGAAACGATATATACATCTTAATTCTTTCTCAGTTCTCAGCGTGAAACTAAACACAAGGCTCTTTGGAACAAATCCACACGAAGCAAAAACTCGTTTACGTTTGTGGAAATGGGAAAAACCTGGCGAGAGAGAGAGAGAGAGACTAGTGTAACAACTCTTGTCCCTCATGCTTTCTCTCTCTCTCTCTCCTCTTCTCTCCTCTCCTCTCCTCTCCTCTCCTCTCCTCTTCTCTTCTCTTCTCTCCTCTCCTCTCCTCTTCTCTTTTCTTCTCTCTTCTTCTCTCTTCTCTTCTCTTCTCTTCTCTTCTCTTCTCTTCTCTTTTCTTCTCTCTTCTTCTCTCTTCTTCTCTCTTCTTCTCTCTTCTCTCTTCTCTCTTCTCTCTTCTCTCTTCCCTCTTCTCTCTTCTCTCTTCTCTCTTCTCTCTTCTCTCTTCTCTCTTCTCTTCTCTCTTCTCTCTTCTCTCTTCTTCTATTCTGGTATTTCTCTGTTCCTTCTCTCTTCTCTCTTCCGTGACTCAGAGGCTTTGCTTGAATGACGGGTCATCTGTAACTACCCCACTTGCCAGGAGTTCATGTACAGAAAATCCACTCAAAGTAAAGAGTTCACAGACCCATGACCATCATGACCCGCATGTTTGCTGCATGGGAGCTTGTATCGGCCAGATCCAGATATTTGTAGTCGTGTGCTGAGCGAGTCCGCCAATCTTGCGCGTGGGTGACCTGCAGGTAGGGATGGGGATGGATCTGTGCCAAGAAGTGGGACAAACCCTCGCACCTGCCGGCCAAAGCAGGAAACCGTGGTGATGTCCACGTCTGTAAGTTCCCCCACGCTTTCTAGAATGCTGCTTGGGACGATGGTGAGACACAGAAACGTTGCGTCCAAAATGGCAAATCACAGAGGAAGTAAAGAGCTCCGGCTAACATTGCTCATCAAAGGCATGGGCATCCGGCAAAATCTTCTAGACGCAACATGCCGTAGATGCAAGGAGTCTGTATTGCCCAAGCACGTCTTTCCGTGTCTGATACCTGATACTGATACCTCATACCAAGTTGGAAGACATGATGAGGGAAAAAATGAAGGTAACAGGTAACTCCCAAGTAAGAACTTTTGGATAGAAACAACAATTAGGGGCCAGGATGGCCAGGTCAGCACACCCCTTGGGTGTTTTGAACCCCCGAAGTTCGGCCCGGAAAGGTTCAAAGCCCATCGATCGAGCCTTGTCACGGAAAGGAGATCCCAGGAATCGCTTGTCCAGGATGATCATGATGAAGCCGAACTGCGAAAAGCACCGAGATGACATGGAACAGTTTGAGGGATCAATGGGATTCCTGAAAAGAGGAGCAAACAAGGAGCAGCTAATGCTCTTTCCCTCTTGGCCTCAAATTAACACGAATGGGACACTCCAATTACAGTATCTCCGCCGAAACGATCTCCGCCCACAGACCATTTAAATATCCTGAGCTTGTGAAGCATAGCCCTTGAACCTCCTTCGCACCCACCCCAGTTCACCTGCATCACGATGTTGAAAAGCAGCAGCAACGTCGAAAAGGCCACATCCAGCAGCCCGGCATCCGTCAAGCCGACCACGGCCAATAAGCTCCATGCGCTCTCGCACAACCTCGGGTCCCAGCGCCTCAACCCGAACGGTCGATGGACGCGATCGACCACTCCGATGAGCGACTCGACGCGATGTTAAGACCCACAGCGAATCCGATGGCAGGCCCTTGAAAGCGAAACCAAAGACTTCCAAAAGACGGACCTTGGGTTTTAATGTGATGAAAAGCAAAGGCGTCAGAAGGGGTGACAGAAATGAAACAAACTTGAAAACATCTGAGATACAGAACTGCTAGCACCAACAAATCGCCTTGGAAGACTCCTCGAGACATGTTTGTCGTCTCAACTTCTGGGTATGCACCTGGAACTCCAAACGGTCAGAAAGAAAGGCCTGCTCTAGTCTGCCACTGATGACTTGCCCGCTTAAGCAACTCCCCATCCAATGAAGGCCTGATACCTCAAAGCTCACCAAAACTCGAGGAGGTTCCCAACCACTTCCAACTCTTTGTTTAGATTCCATCATTTTGCATCCAGGCAGCTTCACCTCCTTGTCCTCCCCTTCCTCTTCCGCAGAACCTCGTTGGCCATCCTCCTCCGGTGTGGGAGCCACTTTCTTGCTGGTGGGCACCGTCACCGTCACGCTCTCCGGTTGCCCTGACCAGCGGAAGGGCGGTTTCTGGGACGGCTGGGACGTGAACGGCGCGGTTGGGGGGGAAGGAGAGAAGCCCAAAACAGACACCCCAAGCATGAGCCAACAGAGACCGCCGTTTGGATAAGAATTTCACTTATCCACAACTGTCTTGGGCATCCAAATGCATGCAGTTCCCATGTTGCCTAGAAGCCCAAAGTTGATGATGGTCCTGTCATCCTAACATGTTTGCATCTCGGTGTCCAAGAGGCTTGAAAGCGGGAAGCTGGGCGATCTTGTGACATGTCAATGTTTTTTTTGACTTGGATGCCTGCTGTGAGACCTCTGTTCTGGTACCAGTTGAAGGACAGGGCGCCGGCAAACAAAATAGAAACCAGCAAAACCAAGATAGCCTTTCATATTGACGGATGGAACTATCTTCAAGCAATATCAGTATCAGTTTTTCGGCCAGAAGCCTGAAAACCTCAGCACCCAATTATATAGGCCCTCCAGAAGTCTTACCCTGTGTTCGTCTATATGATTTATGATCATTTTTGCACAAATACGCAGCTTGCAGACCTTGGTCATCGTCATCGTCGTCGTCACCAAGTCCCTATAAGTCACTGGAATCACTACTCTACGACCCTGTCACAGGGGAAACACCCTCCAAGCGCCACTCCACTCCCTCCCGACGGGCGGCACGGCGCGCCTGCCGCGCCTGCCGCATCCGGGGACGAGGCGAGCCGCGACTCCAAGCTGTTCAAGCGCTCGGTGAGGCGAAGGATCTCCTGCTGAGATTGGTCCAACGGGGGAGAAGTGGCAGTTTGAGCGGGCTGGCAGAAGGGTCTGTCAGGGTCCTTCCGTGGAGGCGTTGGATTTGGATCCTTTGGATCCATCCCCTGCTGCGAAGTGCATACCCCAAACTGCTGTGAGAAGGAGAATCAGAATCCTACGGTCATGAGGTGTCATGAAAGAAGAAGGACTGTTTCTCATTGTCGATGTCCAGACTAATGAGACCCACTCAATAGTCAACGAAATTTGAAGACAAAATCATGTGAATTGACTTCTGGACGGGAAACCCGAGTTTTGAGCTGCTTGGTTCGGGTATCCCTTGGCATCCCTTGGCTCAAAGATCTCCAGACTGAGCAGGCGCCGCAAAAACCGAACCACCGTCCGACCCAGGGGGGTCGGAACCCCCGGACATCAGAATCAGCTGGAAGTTCACAACTGCTTGAGGACCAAACTCCCCCTGTTTGAATCACCATCTTCTAGTACCCAACACATGCCCCCGAGTGATAGAAGAGTTTGTCTCCTCCATGAAACAAGCAAAAACCACCGCCTCTCACGGAGGCTCCAAACTATATATATATATAGAAGGTCCACCGGTCAAACAAGGGTCAATGGGCAGTGTACAGTCCATTTCAAAGAGCGGCACCCACTGGGTCTGAGCTACACAAAAACAATCGAACAAAGATCTCAATGTGGAATCAAAACCATTTTTGCGGTCGTCCTGTACGCAGTGTGCTTTGATCGACTGCCCATGTGAACGAGCCATCCGATCTGCAAGCCAAAGGCAAAAAGACTGATGGGCGTTGGACGGATTCCACAGTTCGACAGGGGTACATACAACTGTCCCGCCCACCATACGCTGTCCCCCTCCTGCCGCAGCTCAGCGATCTCATCCGTGGGCGCTGGCATGGCATCGGTGGCCAGAAACGAAAAGGCGTGTCCCGTAGTAGTGGCCGGTCGTGTGGGAAGCTTTGGCGGCTGTCACATGGCGATGTGTCATCTTGCTGTTTGTATCATGTTGTATCTTCATGTATGTTTGAACATGTTCAATTAAGGAAAATGTTCCAGAGCTGTGACCATTCTCTTGTGGGCGTTTGGATTGTCCAAAGAAGTGCAACAAGCTACACGATGCCACAAATAAACATGAGTGAACACGTGAATAGCTAGAGCTGAGCGTGAAGTAAGTCCAGCCACGACGCGCGTCCGCATTTGGGGAAACCTAGTGCCAGCCTCTCCTTTGGAGCATGAAGCAATATCGAACACACGAGGTGCGAAGGCATCAGCTACCAGCCGTGTTGCTCTGAAATGGACTAGTTGAAGCAACCCAAGTGGCTCGGGGCAACACCCAGTGATCCTGTGACAAACCACAACTGAAGCTGGGCAACTGAAGCTGGTCGTTTTTTCACCCCTAGACTTCTTCACAAAATCTCGAGATCTCCGGTGATCCTCGTCTCAGATCTACTGTCTTCTCCCTCTCAGCGAAGGCTGCTTGGACTCTACTGACGGTCCGACCTTCTTCGTTGGGAACAAATAGGCCGGTCCTTTTGGACACCGGAGTTGAAAAAGGCTGCAACAAGTCTGTAGAAGTAGACCTGTTGAACAGGTTTCTAGTTCAAATCATCAAAGCAAACCTGCCAAGTTATTGGTTGCATGCCATTTGCCCATGTTGGCCCTTCTCTGTGCATCCACCAAGGCTGCATGTTATCGCAGGAGTTCGTTCTTCTTTGCGGCTCCTCTCCCAGCAAAGTTGAGGATCAAAACCTGCAGCGCAAGTCACCACGTCACAGGAACAAATGCACCCAGCACTGGGAATCACAAAAGCAAGCCAAAGCATGGTCACGCATAGACACTCTCATCACCTACAAACAACTAGACGACGAGTGGCCCGAAAGCATTTTTCATCACGTAGGAAGTCAGAGTGCGAGTTATCTGTTAAGTGTGCAGTGTGAAGTGTGAAGTCGAGTGAGTTGAGGTAGTGTGTGGTTTTCTGTGCGTGTATCTATGTCCGTGTGGAAATGAGTCTGCGTATGTGTGTGTTCGTGTAAGTTGAGGCAGTGTGGGTGTCTGTGTGTGATGCGGCCTCCCAAACCCCCCACCGGCGGCCAAGCGGTGACAGCCCAGCTCATCGTC